GGATAAATCACGGCTCAGAGTGCCCGTCATCAGCGGCGATCGAGCCGATGCTGAGTGGGAACGGGTGCGGAGATTTGTGACGCATCAGCGGGTCCAGTAGATCACACCTCCCTTGACTCCATCCCGCGATTGGAGGCGCCGATATCTCGTGAGTTGACTGATGACGGAGTGGCGGCCATCCGTCACCGCTAATTGCTCCGGCGACCTCAGAGGACGCACGCCGACCCGCTGAGGGCAGACAGCTACACTGGCAGCCGGCTGAGGTACTACTGATGACCCAGGGTCACCCGGCACTCCCATGGCCCATCGTGGCACAACCTATCGCAAATGTGGAGCGTACGAAATTAGAGTGATTGCACCAGGTTACACCGAAGATATACGGAGCACGATCGCTATCTAGAGCATCTCATTTGTAGCGTCTGCAGTGGATGCGCCGCCGGAGGGGTGTCTGCCGACCCTCCTTATTCCTCGGCCTTGGCGCCAGGTCGGAAATGCGTCATTGCGTCACAGCTGGTGCTGCCAACTGGTGCACTGGCCCGCGAATGAGATCAACTGGTGCACGGGGCAGAGATTCACCGCCTGCCCGGTCGGTCGGCCGGCCCGACCCTGACCGGTAGCGGTCACAGAACAGCCGGGACGCCGCGCTGAATACATATGAACGGCATTTAGGACGAGTGCTGCGGGTCTCATTTAACTTGATGTAGCGCTGGTATCCAGATGCAAATATTACTAAATGCGATTTAAGTGCTGCAATCAGTCACCAAAACTCTCGGATAAAGAGACCGAAGAGTTACCTAGCCGCTCTGAGTCTGAAATAAAGGATGGGATGGGTCTATGCAATATAGTAAAACGTTTGCATGTCGCCAAACTGGTCACCACTTGATGCAACTTTGCCACGATCAGCGGTGATGTCAGCATATAAACCATCCTTATGCTGGGAAATGTTCAAAACAAATGTTTTCCCTTATTCATCGGTCCTCTTTGAAGTGATTTTCATTGAAAGTATCCATGCTGTGCAGGAACATTTTAGGCGTGTGTTTGTCTATTGGTTTTGTTTGCGACGTTTGCGTTGGCGTTTCGGGCGTTCGTTTTGCGCGTTTTGCGGTGTTTGCGTTTTGCGGCGGTCGGGCGTTTTTTTCACAATTCAAAGTCACAACCTTCGGGCCGCAGCGCTCCTCGAAAAGCGCTGCCCTCGAGTATCCATGCTGTGCAGGAACATTTTATCTTTCCTGGCTAAAGTGATTGATCCTTGGGACATTAATGATACTACGATGCTAGGCTGAGAAATTAAATGATTCTGAAAATGTTGGATTTGAACTTAAATTAGTGAATGAAATACCTGTGATAAAAGAGAAATGTTATTAATTAGTTTCCTGTAAATGAGTCTCAAGCATCAAAGACACTGCTTCTTAATCTTCCAGAAAGTGTCCTCACATATAATCATTTCGGAAAAGGGGCAATAGGTAGGTAAATAGTAAATAGCAATAGTGAATTGTAGCTAGATAATTTTGCATATGAGTGGATATGTTTTAATTTTAACCCGCGCCCCGTTGGGGTCTGCCGAGCAACACTGGGGTCGGGACCCCCGTTAGGGGGCATTTTGAACCCCCCCCCCTCCTAAGATCTCGAGAACCACGCAACATCAAGCAACAAGAAACAAACGGTGTTGGATAGCCCCAACGGGGAACTACCTTGTGACCCAATTTCATTGACTTCGGTCAAACCGATAACGTCACAGGTCAGGTCAAATGTCGAATTTTCACAGTTTACAGGCACTTCAAGAAAGGTGTTATACAATCGAGTAAAATGCATGTCATTGAAAATCATCGATGGGGAATTGTTCACCAGACACATATTTTGCTATTTTAGGTCACTGGTCACACGCCAGGTCACAGAGGTCAGGTCAATGAGGGTCAAACTATGAAAATATCTTGTGATGCATATTCTATGGTCCATTTTACATGACAAATGCGATTATGTGGGCCAGGCAGCCTTTGGGGCCAGTTTAGGTTATGTTCTGGTGAAGGTCAGGTCAAGGTCAGGTCAAATAAGGTAATTTCAAACTTGATATTTTTGCAAAAAATGGGCATCGATTCGATGCAGCTCGGGGGGGGGGCGGTCAGCAGCCCCCCCCCCGTCGGTTTAGTTGGCGCGGACCCCCGTCGGTGCGCCGGTTAAGGTGACCTATAGCCTCAAGCTAGTGGCCTAGCTAGGTCACTTAACCCTCGCCCTGGCAGGGCATTTTTTATAACGTGGCCTGGCAAGGGGTCGATGCGACCCCCTGGTGTTTCGAAACTAAGCGTAGTAGCGCTTTGCAACAGAGACCAGTCGATTGCTCTCAACGAGCACTCGCGATTGGTGGCATTTTTTTACCCCAGGGCAACATTTGAACCAGTTATGGCAGGTCAAAGGTCAAGTTTCGGGGAAAAGCTATAATTTTCCAAGTTACTTAGCCAATATTGGCGAATCTATGAAAGATATCGACATAAAACTTCACGACCGTGTTTCTCAATGAAATAGCCGTTTTCAAGACTGCCATTTGGTACACATTTGGTGCACATCTGGTACAGATTAGGTGCAGATTTGGTCAAATCAGGTTCAGTGTGTCTCTCAGCAGCTATCAGCTAGGGTTACACTAATTGCTTATATGCCTGCTTTGCCATATTATCAGTGAGCATCATCGATTAAAACACTGAAATAAATTCATAAAATGAAGATATTTGCTGTAAAAGAAATTAGGTGCAGATTTGGTCAAATCAGGTGCATTTGCCGGATAGCCCGTCGTGAAAACGGCTAATATGTAGCAACAAAATGTTGTATAGTTGACCGCATTTAAGTAATTACTGGCGTGACGTATAGTCCCCGGGAACACGGGGGGTCACACCCGCCTCCGGCGAGGATGGTCCTAATTGACCTGGATTGACCTTGTAAAGGGCAAGGAACAGTTTTAAAGGCGTTTAGGTGAAAATTGAGCCACAGATTCGGATTCAGGACCTCAAGAAACCCCACTAAACACAGCTCATATCACAAAGGTCGTCGTGTGAATATGCGAGGTCATTCGCTACCTTAGTTGACCTTAGAAAGGTCAGTATACAATGCTAAGAGTCACGTCCTGTCAAAATCTGACATAACTCACACGGAATAGTTTCGTTCTTGTGTTTGTCGATGAGATCACGTCCAGTTACGCGGAATGTACGTTTTGTCAAAAAACGGTCGGAGGTTGTGCTTATTATGACGTCATAGCTCGGTGACCTGACAAGACCCGAAAGCATTTTTTTTTAACCAAAAGTAGCGCAAAGGATACCCCATAGGCTATTACAAATTCCAGCACGATCCGACAAATGGTTCGGCGCCCATCGCAAAAATAATCCTCATGGGGCTTGCATCAACTAATCCCCCCTACCAGGACGAGGTTTAAGGTGACCCAGTGACCTGACCATTTATGACATGGTCTAAAATTTCACACATGCTGTTAATATACTATTGTAGCTTATCTATCATAAGGCAGCCGTTTTTAGATATTCGCGAAAAACTGTAATGGGTGGGGGTAAAAACCACACCCTCCCCGGCGCTGGTTACAGTGGCGGCGGAACACCTTCAATTAAGGGGGGGAAGGGGTCACTGCGGACTTTTGGTCCCATTCTTTCCATGCAACGCCCATAGGGCTAATGTAAAAATGCCAAAATCAAAGGGGGGCACGGTGCCCCGGTGCCCCTCCCCCCGTTCCACCGCCTATGGCTGGTTAGTCTCTGGGCTCCTGCTTGGGGTCAGGGGTTTCACCCCTGGTGAAACCAATTGCGAATATGACAGCATTTTTTATTAAGTACCTAGCTAATTTAATATGACAAACGGCATCTAAACAAAATCCTTTACTATCAATGGTGTAAGAGCTAGGTGATTCTACCGTCCAATATATCAATGGTGTCAAGTCTAAGTGAGTTTACATTCTAATATATGAATGGCGCCAGGGTTGGATGACTTTACTGTCCATTGTCATATAGATGCATCCTTATCTTCTTCCTTCCTGTGTCCATTTACATGCGTTGCTGCGTTTGTTTTTTAATATCGAGTCATCGGTATTCGATCGGTGCACTTTTGCAAGAGCCGGGTGCATATGCATATTACGAAGCACAAGGGTTTATTAGGTTCGCAACTCCACGCACCATCCTAAACGTCACCTGTTGGGTCATCAAAAGGTGCAAATCATCATCAATCTTTGTCTTTGAAATAGCGGCTCCCCTAATTATGATCATAACATGGGCGTTGACTATACCTGCAGCGTTGCAGTTTTAACAATGTGGCTGCTGTGTAGCATTTCTATAACTCATTCATTGTATGTACCCTGCTGTGTTGTTTGATTCTACTGCGAGCGAGTAAATGCATTCCAACGGGTCTAATACCGCGTTCATCTGTCGCTTACATATAGGAACAGCACACGTTCTCGGGTGTCTCCAATTGGGCCACTCAAGGGGGGGGCCACACGGGTCCGTGCCCCCCCCATTCGAATTGGTGGGCCCAAAGTTCTCAAGTGGGCTCCTAATATTTAGACCGCCTAAAGATGAGCTGAAATGATAATTGAATAGACCAGGAGGGCCCATCTCGGGCCCCAACAGGCCCAAATAAGTTCATGATAGGGAAACTTTTTTTTTTGGCTGAGGCCTGGGGCCCTTCGGCATGGGGGCCCAGTTTGCAGTGCCAAACTGGGTGAAGTGTGAAGATTCCGGCCAAGTGCCAACACCATCCAAAAATCCTGTTAACGCGCCTAAGTGTCTCTCCTCTTCCGTTTGACGCTCTCTCATAGGTGTGAGGCTCTTCTCGTTCACTGTGGGGTGGTCGAAATCAGCGTGCCTTCGTGGTGAGGTGATACTGGCCCGGAATCTTCACGGACCCACCGTCCGACGACTACCAGGGTCGTGCGGCGGTAGGGGAGCGGCCGGCTCGTGACTAGCCGGACCGGACCGGACCTATATAACGGCAGCGGCCGGTCAGCACAGCATCAGTTCACTCACTGCCCTCTCTGGCACACGGGATTCTTACGACTGAAACGCCTTACTTAGTCATGAAGGTTAGTTCACTTCTAATGTCTGCTCTTGAAACGCTAAGGAACTAGAAAAGTTGTGTCGTTGATAGTGCACTTGGTTTAATTATATGCAATATTGCTGAAGTTTATAAAAGTGTGCCATTCCAAGGGCTCTGGTCGGAAATGGCGCTGACATGCATTTGATATGTGCGCACTTTTTTGCAGGTTTTCGTTGCAACTCTCCTGATGGCGGTGGCCGCCGTCTCTGCCGACCGTCCCCTGAGAACGTCTGGTCCTGGCCAGAGCTACGGAGCCCCTCAGGGCAGCGCTTCCCAGAGCTACGGAGCTCCCCAGGGCAGCGCCTCTCAGAGCTACGGAGCTCCCCAGGGCAGCGCCTCCCAGAGCTACGGAGCCCCTCAGACCAGCTACGGCGCCGGCCAGGAGGAATTCCCGCCGCAGCCGTACTCGTTCGAGTACGAGGTCAAGGACGACGAGGGCAACGACTACGGCCACAAGGAGGAGTCGGACGGCAGCCGCGTCGAGGGTGTGTACCGCGTGCTGCTGCCCGACACCCGTGTCCAGACCGTCACCTACTACGTGGAGGGCGACTCTGGTTTCGTGGCTGACGTCCAGTACGAGGGCGAGGCGCAGTTCCCCGAGGACAGCCAGAACGGCCAGTACGGCGCCGGCGCCCCCAACAACGGCTACGGCGCCCCGGCCGCTGCTGCCGCCCCCGTTGCGAGCTACAGCCAGCCGGCCGCCCCCAGCGGTGGCTACGGCGCCCCCAACGGTGGCGCCCGCACCCCCTCCACCGGATACGGATTCTAAAAAGCGACATCACCTGCTGTTTTTTTACAGTCTACGATAATTTTGTTGCCTCATGCGTGATAAATGATCTGCGTCAAGCGTCGCTAGCCGAAAATAGGTGCCAGTACTTAGATAGCGGAGGGATCCTTTGAGAAATAAAATATATTTATTACCACTAAAACTTCGGTATTTTGATAAATTGACCGCTTCGATCGGCGACAAGTTACAGTCATACATGAAATGCTTGAAGTACGACTACGCTTATCGCGTAGGAGAAGAGCTAATTGGAAGCACCGCACGTTATTACGTGTTACTGTATAAATCTACCACAACCAAAACAGCTACAATCACTTGTTCCACCATCAAATTTTATTCCTTTCCCCTTCATCATACAAATATTTCTGTAAACGATCATATTACCACGGAATATATAGTCTGTCGTAGACTAAGTATTCCGTGATATATACTGAGCATGGGATGATGGAGACTGCCCGAGACCCAATGCTGAGGAAACCTAAAATCCGAGTTGGAGTGTCCGGAAACGGAATCTGGGAGCCTGGTCGCGGTCTAAGGCAAACAGGAGCCTTCTCCTCCCCATGTTTCTGACGGTGTCACGTTCAAATTTATGCATTGAATGTCACGGTCTCATCGAACGATTTGCAGCCCGCGCCTGTCGCAGCCCGGCGCGCTCGTCGCCCTCATAACGTGCAGTCAGCTGACGCCTGTGAGGTAGGCCACCCGCCCGACACTCAGCCGCCGCCGTTCGGCGCAGTGAAGACGTCTGCCGCACGGTTTAGACCTTGGTCGTGCCCGCAATGGTGCGTTGCAGTGGAGGGAGGGAGGGGAGGGATTACTGTAGCTAGCGCAGCCTACACTACATTGTAATTTTTTAGGCTCATCGCGTCACGCCTGCAGAGGCAGGGGCTAATTACGAGCGAGCGAGCGCAGCGAGCGAAGCGAAGTCTTTTCAATATAACGGAAAAATCTCAGTATGAGCGGCCCGGCCCGGCCCGGCCTGTAAACGCTTTTGAGAGGCTTATATCTCAGCAACCGCTGGATCGAATGGCCTGCGGTCTTTTTTGCTGGGTAGCCCCATCCCTTCTACCCCGTAATTGACTACTTTTGATACATCTCAGTGACCGCCGTGGCACGTGCCACGTGAAAAGTCGAGGGTGTTCAAGCAGTTTTGCAAAAGTAGGGGAGAGCGGGGAGAGTTGTATCATGTCCAAGTTGTATCAGGGCGAATTGTGCCAAATTTATCCAATAGATAGCGCTCGTTGCACGACCAGCCGACGAGGTTTTCCGGGCGCCATCTTTCCCTGTTCTGTCGTGTGGCTGGGTGGACGCGTCTCGGGGTGAGAACCGATTTTATGTTTTTTTAATGTCATTCTAAAAAAATGAGTTGCAAGAAAATGTGTGTTTTTGGCATTTAGATGTGCACGAATTTGAAAGATCTCCGTAGCGGTGGTGAGGGTAGGTTCTAAGGCTGCGTGAGTGAAAATGGATTTCTCCAGCTGTCCGCTGTTTTTGAGCACGAGGATGTTTTTTCCAAGATGGCGGCGAGGTACATGTTGTATCAGAGCCGGGTGGGGTATGTTGTAACATGTATGTATGTATGGGCATGTTGCTTTTGATCGCGAAAGCTAAGCCCTGTCTCGCGTTTGTAGGTAGCTAGTCAATACTCGTTCCATTTCGGCACAATGTGTTGGCTTCTTTGCTCTTAACGGGCCACTTTTGCATCTAGTCTGTTGATGTTTCGCTCGTTTCGATGTTTCGTTCGGATTGCATTGACCTATGTTTGGTCTAATAAAAGTGAAGCCTTTGATTGAGCATATACAATGTATTAACCCCATTTAATGTTGTTATGTTCAAAACCAGTAGCAAGCACACTCCCTGAAACGTGAAATACCTAGTGATACAAATTACCCCACCATGTGATACAACTCACCCAAGCCATGGGGCAAGTTGTATCAAAAACATTGCTCTATTCGGCAGACCGTAGAAGAAAAACTGGTAGAGGTAGCGGAAAAGTTACTTTGCACAAAAAAGCAGAAGAATCGTGGAAGGAGATAGTATGGAAATAATGAGTTTATCACGGATAGTTACGAGGTTATGGGTCTCGGAGTAAAAACTGATACAACCCACCCCACTCTCCCCTAATGATTTTGAGAGGCCCATATCTCAGCAGCGGCTGGAGCGATTGTCTTGCGGTCATTTTTATAGGGTAGCTGCATCCCTTCTACCAAAGGTCTGATACTCTTCATCTATGTGAGTGACCCCCACTGCACGTGCAAAATACAACAATAAGAGGTGCCAAATTTGTTCCCATTTCAGTAACTCAGTAATTACTGGGGCGATTTCGCTGAAACTTGGCATACAGGTAGGCACCCACCAGGCAATGCATTCCCATGTGTTGTGGTTAGGGTGCTACTGCACGTGCGCACGTGCAGGGGGCGTTTCCAGATCTCGAGAACGGCTGGGCCGATTGCGCTCAAATTTGGTACACGGTTGGGGACCGGTTAGTAGGGTGCCGTGCAAAAGTCATTTTGGACCCCGTTTGCACGTGCGCACGTGCAGAATGCTGCTTCCAGATCTCAGGAACGGCTGGGCCGATTGCGTTCAAATTTGGTACACCGCTAGCGACCGGTTAGAAGGGTGCTTTGCACAAGCCCGTTGGAAGTACCCTCTCGCCCTTCTGCACGTGCAGGGCTCACTATCTCGCTCGCTCGTTCTTCGCCCAAAAGGCGTTTTACTGGTATAGGTACGCTTCCAAGAGATTATGTCGGTGGCGCTTATGAGTGCATATAACTGGTTATAGTTCAATTGTCTTTTGGCAGATTGTTAATGAATTTATTAACTAAAACTATATACATACAACTATTATGACCTATTCATATCATCTGGTATGGTTCATTTGATAAATTCAAGCAAGCAAAGGAACTGATAACGATACTGATTCTGGATTCGGTCCAACATCAGATTATTTTGCATCAAGACTATCGAGCAAATGGAATAAAACAAAACGGTCGAGGTGTGGAAATGGAATAATTCTTTAATGAAGGAAGTGACTCTTTAAGGGAACTTAGGGCCAATGTGTCAACATATATAAAAGAATTGTAAAATTGTATCGTAGTTGCAATGTTTTTGTCCCAGTGTTTGTGTGTAACATTTGACTGATTTTGAGTGCTTGGACATTAAATGGGCCCACGTATGCCTGTTGTCCTTGACCCCAAATAAATAAATAAATAAAATAAATAAGTAAGTGCATTGCAGGGAAGCAGGAACTTTTACGAGCAAGCAAGAGCTGAAGTGCTATAACACCAAACTTGCTAGATGCTAAGATGAGTACCGTAAAGTGGGGCTATTTGAGACAGTGGGGCTATTTGAGACAGTATTTAAAATCGCTATAAAATGAAGATCGTTTGATTTTTGTGTGATATTTTTGCTCAGGAAGGTGTGGAATCGAGCAGTAAATCGCCTGAACAAAAAATAAAGCATAAATTTTAAGTGGTTTTTATTTTATAGAAATTTTAAATACTGTCTCAAATAGCCCCACTGTCTCAAATAGCCCCACCTTACGGTAAGCATAAAAAATCCAAAAGATCACAAGGACAGCAAATGCCTCTAATCCAAAGCATAAGTAAGTAACTTGGTTCATCATCATGCGTTAAGCTGACCTGTAACCACAAAATGTTCAATTATGCTGTTACTTTAACCCTCGCCGGCACAGGGGGGGGTTGATGCCACCCCCTAAGGTTTTTCGCAAATAACTCGCGTAAATAGCGGCCGATCGCAACGAAACTTTCAGTACCCTCGCATTGATCAATTTGACACCTCCCCTGAAAATTTCATGACCCTGACCCAAATGACCTTTGACCTGTGACCTCTTTTCCATGACCATGTTTGGCCGGAATTGCGATTCGGCGTATGTCGGCTCGCATTAGCCGCGCGTTTGCAAGCTTTTCGTGGTTTCAAACGTTCAAACATGTGATTTGATGTTGCTACCATGCATTAGGGTGGGTGTCAAGGTCACCTGAAGGTCAGGTCAGGTCATTGACCTTTGGTGACCTCGGTTCACTTTTTTTTAGTTTTGCATGTTTCTAGGCTAGTTTTTGGAGCTGAATTCGAATTTAGCAACCATTTGAACATTTACGAAGTAGTTTTGGTGCATTCGTAACATGTTACGAAGCTGTCAGAGGCGGATGACAGGCACTATGAATACCCGTCACGACCCCTACCGGTTGATCTGACCTGACCTGACCTGACCCGACCTGGCCTAAACGCTTAACGACATCATCTGTGATCAAAACTAACACGATATTCGTGATCAGCACCCACCCCGGAAAACCCCTTAGCAGCCACGCTTTACGACTTTCTAACAGGTCCCGATGTTCCCGATTTTTGGGTCATTGACCTGACCTGGAAGGTCAACCGATGACCTAGGACCTTAAAGTTGGGCATCATTGGCTTCCTCTCGTGACGGGCAACACGCTCGTTTTTTCCGCAAAGCTCTAGCTCCATCAGGGGCCAAACGCGAGGGGGGGAGGTCGTATCAACCCCCCCCCCCCCCTTGTGCCGTCGAAGGACTCAAAATGGCCTGTGCCGGCGAGGGTTAACCCGCGCCCCGTTGGGGTCTGCCGAGCAACGCGCCCTGTTGGGGGGGGGGCAATTTGCCCCCCTAAGATCTCGAGAACCACGCAACATAGCGACAAGCAGCAAAAGGCTTTGGATAGCCCCAACAGGGAACTACCTTGACCCAATTTCATTGACCTAGGTCGAACTGATGACGTCACAGGTTAGGTCAGATTTCGAATTTTCACCGTTTACAGGCATTTCAAGAAATGCGCTCTAAAATCGAGTAAAATGCATTTCATTGAAAATCATCGATGAGGAATTGTTCGTCAAACATATATTCTGCTATTTGAGGTCACTGGGTCAGGTCACAGAGGTCAGGTCACTGAGGGTCACAATATAAAAATATCATGTGATGCATGTTTTATGGTCCATTTTATATGCCAAATGCGATTACGTGGGCCAGACAGCCTTTGGGGCCAGTTTAGATTATTCTCTGGTGACGGTCAGATCAAGGTCAGGTCAAGGTCAGGTCAAATTAGGTCAAATTTGAAAGCTGACATTTTTGAGTAAAATGGGTATCGATTCGATGCAGCTCGTCACGAGGAGTTCAATGGTGGTCTTTTTTTGCGCTACGTGGTCTAGAATTGCTAAAAATTGAGTTAAAAAATTAGACGTCATCAATTTTGAACAGTTTTTTTCGCTATAATTTGGCCAAAAAAGGAGGTATCGATCTAAAATTTGGTATGTAGACAGGATAGCGCAGGGAATATCACATATATTCAGTTTTTCGAAATTCTAAAAAGTTTTTTGGCATTTAAAAAATCAACATTTTAATTTTGGGGATAAAAATTCAAAAATTTCGCAAATCCGAGATAGCAATTTTGAAGCGTCGTCTTTTCTCTACGTGACCATATAAATAACTTTCAAATTGCTTGGTAACTGTAGCTGTGTAGCATTTGTGAGCGTTTCAAGATTTCATTTTTTTTTTTGCTCATTTTTGCTCGAACATGACCTCAGTTTGACTTCATTAACTCCTGACCTAAGGTGACCTAATAGTTACTTGAAATTGTGTGTGAAGGTGTCAAATTGATGTCCCCGGGAAGGTACTGAAAATTTGGCGGCGCTTCACGCCGCCGTTTTCTTGCTATTTAGGAAAAACCACAGGGGGGGGGGCAAACTGCCCTCCCCAGCGGGGCGAGTGTTAAGCTTTAATTATATCTAAGCAATTGTTTTATGCAGTATATCGCCCTAAATTTTTAACTATGTAACTAACATTTTGCTTTGAAAATTTAATTGTTGGAATAAAAACGCTTTGATACAAACAAGCGGGAAGCACGAAGCGAATCATTGCAATTTCGCAGAAAATATTAGTAACAATAGTTACACCAGTAAAATGACTAGTTGGGCGACTCATGGGGTTGGGGAGGGGTGCGCCACAGTGAGCCCTGCAGTGCACATACGAACCTGAAAAGTGAGACATCCAACTGACTTGCATAGGCCACACCTCTAACCAGTCCTAAACAATAGATTCCGACGTTGAGCACGATCAACGAAAGCTTTCTTGAGATATAGAAGCGGCCCACTGCACGTGCGCACGGGCAATCGAAAGCCCCAATGATTTGTGTTGTGCACGGAGGGCACCCATAACCGATCCCCAATGGTGTGCTAAATCTGATTGCAATCGGGCCAGCCACTCTTGAGATAGTCCTATTTTGACATACCCTGAGAAAATCACAAACTGGTATTTTCCACGTCCATAACGGCAAATTCAAGAAAATAGGTAGGCATTAGCCGTTTCACTAAGGTCATCCAGCGAATGCGTTGTAAAATAGTAGGCGTTTGCATCTCTTGTTATTGAGGTGTGCAGCTCTTTGTTATAAGATAATGACGTCATTATGACGAGATCTCAACTGTTAATTATTGGACTGTTTGAGGGGCGTCTCTGCATTGTCTGCGTTTGCGTTGGGTCCGCCGGCCGAGCCGGAGCGGGCGCAGCGCCCGGCAGTCGCCCGGCAGTGTGGTGCAGCATCTCATTCCGGCCGCTCAAGTCCTGAAATAACTTGATCTTCGTTCATTTATCAACCATACCTGATTCTTGATAATCTACTATCATCATCCATCTTAGAAGAATCTAAGAATCTTAGAATTTACTTTGAACCCACATAATTTGACCAAATCTCACCAAAGGTGACCAGATAACCGTCGTGAAAAAACGACTATTGTGAATTCTTGGACAGCTTGTGGCCAACGAAGAGTGGCAAGAGTTAAGTGCATTAAATGCTGTGGCCAGTGACATCACGGGGAAGATTACCTAAATGGAGACGCGGTTGCAGAAGTGGCTGGCAGGCACGTCCATTGAATGTGATTCGGGCCACGACTTATGCGTGTTCAAGTACAACAATGCATTTGAATCTAGCGCAATCGGGGTTATAGTTGTATAGTTGTTACCTTGGTAAGGGTCGAGCTACAAAATGTGTGTGTAGGTTTGTTGCTGAAATCATTCTCAAGGATGACTGATCAACACAACATGCTGGCTGACTTCAAATGTGGGGCAAGTGATGTGCAGCGGTTGCAAAACGGCCTTCAGTTCGTGACCGGTCGGGAGTCAGCAGAACTATTTAATGGAGGCGGTCGGCGAGCACAGCATCAGTCCACCCACAGCGCTCTTTGATCTCAATACAGTCAACAACATCGAACCATGAAGGTAAATCTACCTACACTGATACTGAAAGCGGCGAAAGTACATGTATGTACATGTTTTTGTTTTTTAATATTTGCTAGTAAGTAGCGCCGTTTGCCTACGAAAGGCTTGCACTAATCGTCGTTTTCTTTTCTGGACAGGTGTTCCTGGTACTTCTGCTGGTGGCGGCTGCCTCCGCTGCCCCGCAAGGCTACGGAGCTCCCCAGGGCAATGCCCCTCAGAGCTACGGAGCCCCCTCTGGCGCCGGCCAGGAGGAGTTCCCGCCGCAGCCGTACTCGTTCGAGTACGAGGTCAAGGACGACGAGGGCAACGACTACGGCCACAAGGAGGAGTCGGACGGCAGCCGCGTCGAGGGCGAGTACCGCGTGCTGCTGCCCGACACCCGCGTCCAGACCGTCACCTACTACGTGGAGGGCGACTCTGGTTTTGTGGCTGACGTCCAGTACGAGGGCGAGGCGCAGTTCCCCGAGGACAGCCAGAACGGCCAGTACGGCGCCGGCGCCCCCAACAACGGCTACGGCGCTCCCAGCCCGGCCACCGGCTACGGATCCCCCTTCTAAAGCACAGATGGTTAAGACCTTCTTTTGAAACCGATGATGCTCATATGGAGCCCCTCACGATGCTGACATCGAACTCCCAATGGCCGCCGATATATTGAGTTGTAAGATATCATTGAAGATAGGGAAACTAAATTAACACAAAGTCTATGTTGTATCTATTGATGTATGTGTTCTATAAGTCTGAAATGTCTGTAAGTTATTTGTGTGTGCTTCTTGAATGTGTCAGTACCTATATTGAAATAATACATGCATAACAAACGATGAAAAAGCGCTTTTATCTCTGAAGAACGATTTCTAACTATCATCCCACTATTTATATTCCTTGGCATTTCTTCATAACAACACATAGCCTTGATAACAACCTTTATAGAAATGTCACAATGTGATAGGGTGCCGCATTCATAAAGGGAAAACTAATTTCCATTTTCTTTTCCTAATTTCTTTTACCATATAGCGCTCAGCATGGCGCTATGGTGGGCTTGACACGGAGCCTAAAATGAAAGTAGAAACAAATCGAAGAATATCAAGGCACAGGTAATCTGCATTGAACATCTGTCTTGCCAAGTCAATAGCGCATACGTATTCTGTTATGCCGGATAGTGTGTGTGTCCAAACAGGATCAAGCTAATGAATTGGCCGCATGCTATCGCGGAGCTTGAGCTGTGTGAACATTGGCTAGGCGCGTCCCGAGCGTGAAAGAGATGAGCTCAGTAAGCTGCAGTGACGGACTTCTGCAATAAGTGTCAGTTTGAACACATCTAGGGATCGCAGGTCTGCAATAAGCATGCCCCTGCTGGAGTTAGACTGGGCTACCCCTTCAAACAGCGCCGCCTGATTTAACACAGAGAAGCGCCCGACTGAACGTAGCAAGAAACCTTGGGAAAAGATTGATCAGTGATTTAGCTCACCAACATATGTACGACACACAGCCAATCGAACAGTCACCCGCGGAAAGATATGCCCACAATGAAGCCGTCTTCCTGTTTGTCTGGCTTGGTGACCGTCAGTCTGGAACGGGGAAGTGTAATTAGGCATAGAGCTGGGCTGTCCTCCTGAGGATTGCTCAAGGACAAATGACTGATAAGGTGGAGCGGGCTAATGCTGAAAGTTATTTGGGGCATGGGCGCTGTTGCAGGTATTCAAATTCGTATCAATTGAAAGCCATCTTTTAGCTTCTATAATCGCACGGTAAACGTTGTCTTTATTTTGCGTTTCACTTAGTATTACAAAGAGGGTATATTTAAAAATTCAACACGTAATGTACTCTTTCTGTTGATAATGGACATAAAATCTTCGAATAACTCAAAATCTTGGTGCGGCGTGTTTCTAGCTTAGCGTAAAAAAGTGTTTCTAGCTTAGCGTAACAGTTCTACCAAGCACCAAACGGTAGAATTTAAAAGTGACATTTTGTGGCACCTTTGTGTGTATTCTGCGCTTCATTTCTCCACTTGTAATAAGCCTGATGGACTATAATGAGTATACATATCCTTCGTCGGCCTTAGATTTCTTAATCAATAGTTCGGAAAATGCTTGAAGAAAAATTGAAAGAAGTAGGATAAGCATATTGATGTATATTGATGTTTCATTGCTGCTAAACACCTTAACAGCAATGTTTTTTAACCGTTTGATAGTTTTGCCACTGTCCATTTGTCTAATAAGTCTTTCAATGCCCAAAAGGTGCCGCTATTGACGTCTGTGGTGACTGACGACGCAAAAGGCCTTGCATGGTTATATCAATTTTTACACGACGCTCTTATCCACTTATGCATTTCCTCTAGCACGGTGTAAACTATAAACCGTCCACTTCCTTTATTTCCCATTTCGCCCTATGATGATGAGATCGCATGGCCGACCTGACTTAACAGAGGTCTATGTACCGTGACCCTCTATGTATGTACAGAGGTCTATGTAAGGTGACCCTCATCACAAATCTGACAAAGGTTCGAGAGCTTACTGATTCATCGAATTGTTTCATCTCTCTGTGAAAGATTTCCTGACACTAACGACGATCATTTTGTTGGTCTGTATTGTGGCCTAAATAACGTAACTTATGCTTATATTGCTTCCTTTTATCATTACCTTTCAAGTTTCAGTTCGTCGGACTTCGATCAATGCAAATGCAAAATGGATTTGGAGAAAAACTACTGCATATTGGTTTGATAATATCTTTATTATTGTTATTCCATAACATATTTGGAAATATCGCAAGAGAACCTTGAGAATAGCAACATTTTTTTTAACAGAAAACGTTTTCCATGACATACGGATCAAATGCGTCATTTAGCGTTTATGCCAAACCGTATGCTTAGCTCATGGCCCCGTAAATGCGGTTGAAGCCGTGAGCTAGACCAAAGGTCGCATTGATGAGCAATTATTTGCCTCAATATTTCATGATGAACGTTAAACCCAACTGGGAGAGGCATCGGCACTCGGCGATGTTTTGCAAGTTGACCTCAACAAATCGTGACGGGCCGGGTCAGATCGGACCTATATAATGGCGGCCGCTGCTCCGAACAGCATCACTTCATCCACAGCTCTGAGCAAAAGGAGCAGTGTAACCACAGAACTGACCAACAAAATGAAGGTAACAGCCTAGCTACAACGCAATTGTGTACCTGGCATTGAGTGGCCTTGTATAATATAGTATAAATGGTTAATGGATGCTTCCTTGCGATAGCTGGTTGAGTGGCTGGAATCTTGCAGCGACAGAAATTAATTATTGATTTATATCATTGCCTCGGTGTAGACTCTAGAATTTACCATTTCAGTTTTGCAAGGAAGTAATCAAATTTAATGCTGGAATATCCTTGGCAGGTGTGCATTTCTGTGCTTCTGCTGGTGGCGGCTGCCTCCGCTGCCCCGCAAGGATACGGAGCTCCCCAGGGCAATGCCCCTCAGAGCTACGGAGCTCCCTCTGGTGCCGGCCAGGAGGAATTCCCGCCGCAGCCGTACTCGTTCGAGTACGAGGTCAAGGACGACGAGGGCAACGACTACGGCCACAAGGAGGAGTCGGACGGCAGCCGCGTCGAGGGCGAGTACCGCGTGCTGCTGCCCGACACCCGCGTCCAGACCGTCACCTACTACGTGGAGGGCGACTCTGGTTTCGTGGCTGACGTCCAGTACGAGGGCGAGGCGCAGTTCCCCGAGGACAGCCAGAACGGCCAGTACGGCGCCGGCGCCCCCAACAACGGCTACGGCGCTCCGAGCCCGGCCACCGGCTACGGATCCCCCTTCTAAGCAACTATTGTCATGTAAACACCGTCTCCTATTTATTACATGGACTTGCAAGACTTATGACCTGAGCAACGGACGTTGAATCTAGTACCTGTACTTATTTATTTGCCTTATCATCTACATGTGTATCACTGTGAGTGTTTTGTGCCTTTCACTCTTCTTGTCATTTTTTTGGCAATATCTGGTTAGTTTTTGGCATTTTCTGTGGATGTATTGATCTGGTAAACTTGTGATCGAATGTTTTAAATGTGTTGAGTGGTGAAGTTGAATGAGGAATGTCTTAGACTGGACCATGACTGGACCGTGGTGTATAGAGTGTTTGGTGTGAGTGATGTAATCAAATGATGTAACTTAATTGAGCATTGAGATAAAATGAATGTGAAAGTCACAATAAAACAATTGGGCACACACATGAGCTCTTTTATTTTGTAAAGAAAAACGTGAACTTAAAAATCAATTGGTGCATTCTGGCGTGAGCCATCAACTCCAACGAAAACTTTATTATTCAAATATGCACCCAAAGGAGCCTGTAGTTGAAAATGGCTAGTAATTAATTTTTCCTTAAATCATTAAGACGCCACCGCTTCACTGATTGATCATCCATAGCAGCTAAAACCACTTATGAGAAATGCCTATGTATGCATGGTTAGTTTTGTTTTTAATAGTTTCATCATTGCTAAAAAACACTAGTCAATTGCCCATTTATACCTCACCAGTCAATCATCCTCCTGCCTAAAAATAAATCGAAAAAATACAATCTCTGGAATAAGGTAGGTACCTTATCCCACACCCCGTTGAAGTCTGGCAGGTTACAGGTCCTATGGGGGGGGGGGACCAAAGAGCCCCCATCGACCATCGTATCTCTGGAGTGACGTCACAGGAATTTCAAACATGGTCAGCTACGTCCAATTAACAACGACGAACAGTCTACCATAAAGAATTAGCTGAATTTCTAAAATGAGCCTGGAAAGGACAAATATCTTAGATCTGACCAATTACTAGTCATCTGAATGGAAGATGGTCTGTGACATCACAAGACGGGTCAGTCTCGTGGAATCCCAAGACCCATGCTGAATCGTATGAAACGGCATGCTGCGAATCGTGAATATTCGAGGAGCTATGAAAACAGCTCATACATTTGCAGCCACAGCAACCTCTCTGGCCACTTTTATTTCATATATGACGTCACAGCAAGGTTAAATTGTCAAATATGTACCGGTTTCAAATGACTTCTTTCTAGGTGAAAGGGACTTGTATTATGTAAAAGAGACAGGACTTTTATCTTTATTCTGGAAGAGGTGATAGATATCATAGAGCTTACTTTAGACTCATCATAAATACAAATATCGAAAATAATGGAGCGACATAAGATTTAATTTATGCATACATGAAGTCCGTTAAATAACTATGTTTATGTTTTTATAGATATTTTACTGATTTGTGGGAGGTATGGAGTCAACACGTTGTTTTCTGACAGGTACTCCATTTTTGTGTGTGTGTAAAATTGCATAAATTTGAAAATAATCTAAAAATATCAAATTTTAGTCGCCAAATCTTAAAATTTTGAACTTTTTTCATTGGTAAGTTCGTGAAAGCAATTTCTCTTGCCATGCTCTTTCAGTTCGATTTTCGAGTCTCTAAACTGATAATATGATTCTCTGCGATTTTTACACATCATTTCAACCGAAAATGGACGAGCATAACCTCAGCTTGACCGCTCTAACTCGTGACCTAAGGTGATCTAAGACCCATTTTTTTGCTTTTTCAAGATGCACAAAATTGATGTTGAAAAGGTACGGAAAACTGCGAGTTAAGATTCGCGGCCGATGTCGAGTTACCTGCGAAAAACCACACGGGGCCCTTTGCCCCCTCCCCCTACACCACCGGGTCGCGGTTTGTGGTTCTCCTGGAATCATCACACCGTAACTAATTTTGCGTAAGTTAAGAGAATAAATAGAAGGCTAGTGTTTCTCACATTCCGCATATCCGGCGGCCAGTGGCCCTCCACGCCGCCCGCCGGCCGCCGCGCTGGGGATCGATCCGGGCAGCGTATTCGCCAATTGTATTACACGAATCGGCCCATCAACTAGCGACATCTCTAGTGCGACGTCATAGCCATCCGCCGCGACAATGCATGCATTGAGGCTAGATTTGAGTTGAGACTATTTTTGCATTGTATATGGCTATCAGGCATGTATGTGTCGCCGTAGCCGAGTGGTTAGAGTCTCGGTGTGATGGACGACAGGTCGGTGGATCGATTCTTGCTTTAGCGGTTCTTTTCTCTTAAAAAGAAGTCGGTCGTAGACGCGCATTTTTGGCCCCTACGTTCGCACGCCAATATCGTACGCCCAATAAATCTCTGACAAGTGTTCATCTGATTAAAGAATAAGTTGCAAAAGAACTGCAGTTGCAGTCTATACCTGAACTACCAATTTTGTTACGGCACTGTCGATATTCGTCAAAGTCGGAAGAGCTATTATGAAACACACTCGAATGACAACGGATTCCTGTATTATTTCATCGATCAGATAAGACATGTATAGAGATAAATTGATGACAGCCCGCCGTGAGCATGCAACTTAACAACCAGTCCCAAGTTATCTTCATAAACGTCTAATATAAATCTTTTGACTTTAACTAGATTCCAAGAAAGAGGACTTAGGTATCCCCCTGGCGTCTGAAATGTAAAAGTTATAGTTAGGGCATAGCTCCTATAGATGACGCTCTGACGGCTGGAAACTGATTATCTCGTCCCGTGATTACGCTAACAGCTATGCCGAACTTTTTTGTGCATGGTGATTCTTACACGAAAAGCTATCTAATAGCCTGCTTACCAGCGTGCGATTTTTACTTTTCATCTTAGGTTTCGCTACTTTTAGGTACTTTACCTTGCTAAGTGCCCACCTACTTTCAAAAGGTCAGCGCCGCCCCTGTCAATGCTGCGTTCTATCACCCATTGGCAGTGAGAAATATTGATCAATGAATGGCCATCGCCCAGCACCATTTGTCTTTCCATTGGCTACGTTCGCATAGTATGCACTATGCATTAGTGATGTCAATCACAGAAAATCAGAACACCGCTACCAAACCAAATACAAACAAAGACCATTGGAAAATACCGAAACCGAACCAATCGGTTGGACTGCAAATATCTATCTTATGCAACATATTCATTAGAAGAATGCCTACGTCTGATTTCTTAGGTGCACGCCGTTACAAATGTATAAAAAACGCACAATGACAGATGACAGATGACACGAAAATCGAAGTCGCCGAGTGGATTCGAACCACCTACCTCTGAATCACCAGTCCGTTACTCTAACCACTTCGCCACGGCGATAATATACCCCATGTAGCTTAAATGTCAATAACTTAAAACCTAGCTTCAATAGACGCCACCAGGGCGAGGACCGAAAGTATGACGCCACGCTGACGTCACTCAGGAGGCAAGCTATTGGTTGGCCGATTCGTGTAATACAATTGGCGATTACGCATCCGGGCAACTAGTTGCGCCCCTTTACTTCTCCAACGAATTCGTCGCTCCACAAAGTGATAGAGAAACCAAACTTTGTACACACATTTATGAATTGCTAGCCGAAGTTGTGTCCAAATTTGGTGTCGATCTCATTTGAAATGACGTCACAGTGACGTCAGAAGCGCAATGATCAATTGGCGTTTCTTAGTATCCCCACGATATAGCCGATATATGGGACCGAATATATAGGACCGATCACTGGTCAGTAACTAGAGCTTGTTTCTCACATTCCTGATATTACTTAAAACAGATAACGTAATATGTTTCGTTTATAGATTTATTTTAAGCTCAATGTGTAGAAAGCATTGCATATTTAGATCAAAGACGCATAAAACCAAAACCGACAACAAAAAGAAGAGAACATAAAACAATACGATCGAAACACACAAGACAAGAACAGGTTACGTATACCAAATAATTGACAAATAATAAATATTACAAATAATAAAAGTACACACCGGATGCCTTGCTAACATGAGTAAGTGTGTATATGCATTATGCACACATTTAAGTCTGAAATTAAAAGGGCGATCCGTAGCCGGTGGCCGGGCTGGGAGCGCCGTAGCCGTTGCTGGGGGCGGCGGCGCCGTACTGGCCGTTCTGGCTGTCCTCGGGGAACTGCGCCTCGCCCTCGTACTGGACGTCAGCCACGAAACCAGAGTCGCCCTCCACGTAGTAGGTGACGGTCTGGACGCGGGTGTCGGGCAGCAGCACGCGGTACACACCCTCGACGCGGCTGCCGTCCGACTCCTCCTTGTGGCCGTAGTCGTTGCCCTCGTCGTCCTTGACCTCGTACTCGAACGAGTACGGCTGCGGCGGGAATTCCTCCTGGCCGGCGCCGTAGCTGGTCTGAGGGGCTCCGTAGCTCTGGGAGGCGCTGCCCTGGGGAGCTCCGTAGCTCTGGGAGGCCCCTCCGTTCCTCTGGGGAGCTCCGTAGCTCTGGCCGGGACCAGACCTTCCCAGAGGGCGGTCGGCAGAGACAGCGGCCACCGCCAGCAGGAAAGTCGCAACGAAAACCTGGTGGATGGCAGAAATTTAATTCATTTCATACCAATATATTTCAGTTTTGGAATTAGTGCAGGCCAGCATAATTAGAATAAGATTTCCTTCTAGCATGGCAGTAAACAATATTTTCCAGATTTTATTCATCTCAGCATGGAAACAATCAGGCTATGATAGAACGATGGCAATCTGCTATATTATGTAGATTGCGATTGTATATAGCTAAACTTGAGCCGTTGTAATGGACTCACCTTCATTGTGTTGGCGATGAGTGGCTCTGAGATCTGTGTTGTGCCTTAGGAGGCTGAGAATGAACTGATGCTCCGCTGGCCGGTCGCGGCTGTTATATACTCGTAACTTGGCAAACAGGCGCGGCTCCTAGTCACGATCCCCGAGACATCTCCAACTATTGCATCATGCCTTCGCATGTACATGCATCCTATGCATGCCGCATGTAGCTGCAGGTAACGACCACACATAATAAAGAAGTCCACGCCTTGCGGAGACAAAATAGTGTTCTAAACACTAATTTTCAGCTTGCCTTATTTATAAATAGCTTATAAGAAGAAGATGTATCTTCAAATAATAACGTTATTTTCTGGCTCATGTGTTAACATGAGCCAGAAAACATCTAAGAGAGACGAAGAACATCGAAATCTGTTTTATAGTCTTTGCTTTTTTATACCTATGTCTGAGAAACTGGTGCTGGCCTGCAAACTAAAATTGGGCTTTAAATTCGAAGTCACCGCGTTTTTCGTCTAACTCGGTAAATAAAGGAACTACGGAAACAAAGGCGGTACCAAACGACAGGTCTTTACCAGACAAGTCTACAGCACCAAAAATGTTTGACCTCAGGTCGACTTTCAAGGTCAGAGGTCAAGAGGTCAAGGTCAAAGGCAAAAACCAACACATGTATAGTACTCTCAAAGTAAGTGTAAAACCGGATAAATTGGGTGTGAAACAAAAGATGAGGATCAGGATTGCAATGATGTGGTCAACATGCAAGGTCAAGGTCAACGTCATGCTCAACATTGATCTCAAACTTCGTACTTTTTCGCGAATCTTGCATGCTCAATTCCCAGATGTTTTGAAAAATGTCAAATACTTAAACTCTCAACACACGTTATGTGCCACATGATGACCTTGTTATTTCGAAATTCGAATCATCGTTAAGAGCATGACGTCGTTCATCAATCTGCCTATCTGTTTTGTTGAAATAAAACAACACAAAGCGGTACCATTTATGTTCACTTACACCTAAAAATAATGTCCAACGGCACAGACGATGCATACTTTCATCAAATTTTATGGCAAAACTTGGCCAGAAAACAAGGTATACCTAGTACTTTAAAATAAACGAACTTTATTGACCTGATCTTTAACAAAAAAAAACTTCCATGGGTTTAGCACCTCAGAAATAGCCTCACCGTCCTTTTCTTCGCCTTCGAGCCAAAGTTGGGCCCGATATCCTCGAGACGGCGCTCGCTAGTGCTCTAACCCTCGCCCGCACATGCCATTTTCTCATCCTAGAACGCACATGGGGGGTGGTTGCCACCCCCCGCGCCATTTCGTTCCTGTTGGAGATAGAGCTTCGCGGTAAAGACCAAAAAGATTCTTTGGGAAGAGACGAATCCAAGGATACCCAGTTATACCTTCTCAGGTCAGTCATTGACCTTCCAGGTCAGGTCAAACTAAAAAATGTTGCTGTTTTGGGTCACCGTTGGATATCAAGTGCGCTGCTTATCATATACCGATGACGATGCCGTTTTCTGGTGCCAAGCCAGCTAGAACCTCTTTGTCACAATACCCGACCAGGTTTTTGCTGCTGAGGTCATTTCAGGTCAAGTTAGGTCAAGGTCAATGACATGTGTTTGTATGTCTGTGTGTGTCTGTGTGTATACCTACTGATGTGTGCACCGATTGTTTATGTGTCCATATTACATGAAATCATGATCTGAGAAGCTTTTACCAAAAATGCAGTCAAAAAACTTCACGAAAAGTAAATTCAGCTTGCCTAAAACGCAATTATCTTAGATGACCTAGGTTGACCTTGACTCTGACCTTGACATCTGTACATCGTCGAACATGTTCCATGATAGGTGGGAGGTAAGACTGGCAAAAAAGGCCGAAATCAAGGTGTCAAAAGCTCACAAGACCCATAGCTAACGCAAGATGTTGAGAATTGGTCATTTGGGTCATGAGTCATGACATGACCTGAAAAACAAGGTCATATCTCCGAAACCAAAAACCACAGAAACTTGAAATTTTAAGTGGACATCAAAAAAGGATATAGGAGCAGCTATACCAAAAATCAGGCTTCTAGCTCTAAAAATGTTGAGTGCAGAGCAGAAAGACTACCTGGGGGGTGGCCCCATGTGTGGGCGAGGGCTAAACATGAAAATGCTCCATTTAAACCCCCGACCTGATCTGACCTTGATCAATCACCTTACCTCAAATCCCACATTGCAGGATTGCTTCGGATGCGTAACTGTGAGACCTCTGCAACACCGCCTCGTTACAATGCTTATTCTTAGGTGTTGTTTTTTATCCGCTGGGACTGAGAGCGTGAGATGATGTTTTTCGTACTCCAGCGTAGATGGGTAGCCATACGGCTTCCACGGTTGACAGTGATGACATCAGTCATCTTTTTGCAAACTCGTTAAAGATTTTGGGCTGTACGGGGATTCGAACCCCGGGCCTTTGGATTAGCGCTCCAATGCTCTACCTCTGAGCTATACAGACCAAGTACTTTAACGAGCTTTCTGCCAAGTTTTATGCGGATCATTCTTAGGTGTTGTTTTTTATCCGCTGGGACTGAGAGCGTGAGATGATGTTTTTCGTACTCCAGCGTAGATGGGTAGCCATACGGCTTCCACGGTTGACAGTGATGACATCAGTCATCTTTTTGCAAACTCGTTAAAGATTTTGGGCTGTACGGGGATTCGAACCCCAGGCCTTTGGATTAGCGCTCCAATGCTCTACCTCTGAGCTATACAGACCAAGTACTTTAACGAGCTTTCTGCCAAGTTTTATGCGGATCATTCTTAGGTGTTGTTTTTTATCCGCTGGGACTGAGAGCGTGAGATGATGTTTTTCGTATATAAAAATCAAAACGTCTGTACGTATGTATGTATGTATGTATGTATGTATGTATGTAACGCGTCAGTCACGCTTGGCGGGCTATTGCTCCGGAACGGTGCGGGCTACGGGGGTGAAATTTTGGACTTAAGTCGGACGCGTGCATCTGTTTGTCGTATTAAATTTTGGTGGGGGTGCGCTCGGCGGTTTGCACGTGGCGGGCGCATCTTTGCGGGATTTTGGGCCGCGGCCGGCGCCGAGCAGACGGCACGCGCCCTAGGTTCAGATTGTCCGCTGCGAAAATGGTCCCAGCGGATAAAAAACAACACCTAAGAATGATCCGCATAAAACTTGGCAGAAAGCTCGTTAAAGTACTTGGTCTGTATAGCTCAGAGGTAGAGCATTGGAGCGCTAATCCAAAGGCCCGGGGTTCGAATCCCCGTACAGCCCAAAATCTTTAACGAGTTTGCAAAAAGATGACTGATGTCATCACTGTCAACCGTGGAAGCCGTATGGCTACCCATCTACGCTGGAGTACGAAAAACATCATCTCACGCTCTCAGTCCCAGCGGATAAAAAACAACACCTAAGAATGATCCGCATAAAACTTGGCAGAAAGCTCGTTAAAGTACTTGGTCTGTATAGCTCAGAGGTAGAGCATTGGAGCGCTAATCCAAAGGCCCGGGGTTCGAATCCCCGTACAGCCCAAAATCTTTAACGAGTTTGCAAAAAGATGACTGATGTCATCACTGTCAACCGTGGAAGCCGTATGGCTACCCATCTACGCTGGAGTACGAAAAACATCATCTCACGTTACAATGCTTAGTTTCGTAGATAAACTGGGGAGGCGTGGGTGGATCCTTTCCCCCTTATTCAATGGCGTTCGGCAGGAGGCAAAAACAAGCGCTCAGACAAGCTCTGCACAAAGCGAGGGCTCCGGCTCCATCAGTTTGTCCATTCAAACATTCGAGCTGTGTTTATTGCTTACTTTAACCCTAGAACGCCTGGGGGGGGGGGGTTGTATCAACCCCCCCCCTGAGGTTTTTTCGAAGTGCACGCTAAACGGCTTGTCGTAGCGGGCTGAAATTTTCAATACCCTCTAGGGCAGCCTTTGTGCATCTTTTGCCGAAAAAAATTGATCGGGTCATGTCAGGTCACGGAGTTATGACGTCATAAGAGGTACAGCCTCCGGCCGACAGTTACCAAACGTCTGCGCCGAATCCTTAGGTTTTCTGCCGGTGATACCCACATTGTTTGATGGATCATGATGAAACTTCCCATGCATGTTGGGGCAAGCATTGGCTATCGTGTGGTGCAAGAAAATTGACCGGGTCAGGTCAGGTCACGGAGCTATGACGTCACAAGAGGAACAGCGTCCGGTACTATTTTTGAAAAGCGCCCGAACCACTATTTTGCTAATTCTTGTCACCTCAATGGGAATATGCAGCAATATTAGCTTCTATAGGGAGCAAATGGACCTCCCAAATCCAAAAATACAATCAGATTTCAAAAATTTAAATTTTGATTTTTCGAATTTCTGCCGCCGACTGTGACCTTGCCGACTTCCGGCGCTCCCAACGCGCCATTTTTAGAGCTAGGGAAACGAAATACATACCAAACGATAGAGAATTGATCAAGGAACACGATAGTGAAGGTTTCAAGTCGATATCTCCCACCGTTTTGCCGCAATCGCCGCGGAAAGTTGAAAAAGTTTGATTTTTTCGGAAAATTTGACATTTGACCGGTCATAAGTAGGTCAAATGTTGACCTAGGACCAAAAAATATACCACCAATCGCGAGACCTCGTTGAGAGCAATCCGTTGGTTTTTTCCGCTAAGCTCTACGACCTTCCGTTTCGAAACGCCAGGGGGGGGTCGTAACAACCCCCCCCCCTGGTCGTTCGTGTTATGAGAAATGGCCTGGTCGTGCGAGGGTTAAGAGCCCACTGGTATGAGTGTCAAATATGGTATGGGGAGGCTGAACCCGGCCGGCGGCGGTCGAGCTTCTGCCACCCCAACCCGGACGCGCGGTGTGAGATGCTGCAACGCTGCGGGATTCACCGTGTCGGGCGGGAGACGACTGCATCCTATGCCATGTGTCCCGTCTCGGCAGCACGGCCGCGCTGCTGTCATACGAGAAGGAGAGCTCGGATTACCCTGCCGCGCCGCCTGCGCCGGGGCGGCCGTCTGAGATTGGGGCTGGCGCCGTCCAGGCTCCGGACCCGGCGAAACAGGCGGTCGACATCCTGTCCATTTAGCGCTAGAGGTTGCAAGTGCCCGTCTCTTTCTGTTTCTGCTGATACTGGCTGGTTCACACAATTTCATTTGCGGTGAAACCTGTGCATGGTAGACCACAGGATGATATCCTACACCGAACTGTTATATAATGCAGATAAAGATGTCGAATCAAGTGTAATGATATATTGTGTCAAGGACATACGCACACTTCCATCAACTCATTCACGCAATCGCATTCTCATCTTACATTCTATATCAGGCATTGTTTTGAGGCTAAAACAATAAATACCACATGAAACGATTACAATAGCCCAGAAACGCTTTCATTTTAGAATCCGTATCCGGTGGAGGGGGTGCGGGCGCCACCGTTGGGGGCGCCGTAGCCACCGCTGGGAGCGGCCGGCTGGCTGTAGCTCGCGACGGGGGCGGCAGCAGCGGCCGGGGCGCCGTAGCCGTTGTTGGGGGCGCCGGCGCCGTACTGGCCGTTCTGGCTGTCCTCGGGGAACTGCGCCTCGCCCTCGTACTGGACGTCAGCCACGAAACCAGAGTCGCCCTCCACGTAGTAGGTGACGGTCTGGACGCGGGTGTCGGGCAGCAGCACGCGGTACACGCCCTCGACGCGGCTACCGTCCGACTCCTCCTTGTGGCCGTAGTCGTTGCCCTCGTCGTCCTTGACCTCGTACTCGAACGAGTATGGCTGCGGCAGGAACTCCTCCTGGCCGGCGCCGTAGCTGGTCTGGGGAGCCCCGTAGCTCCGGGAGGCACTACCCTGGGGAGCTCCGTAACTCTGGGAGGCGCTGCCCTGGGGAGCTCCGTAGCTCTGGGAGGCGCTACCCTGGGGAGCTCCGTAGCTCTGGGAGGCTCCTCCGTTCCTCTGGGGAGCTCCGTAGCTCTGGCCCGGACCAGACCTTCCCAGAGGACGGTCGGCAGAGACGGCGGCCACCGCCAACAGAGCAATCGCCAGCACCTGAAAGAAACGACATTTTTGAAGATGGTGAGATTTCAGATCATCCTCAACTTGTCCAATATGGAGGAAACGAGCCACCGCTGCATGATGTCAGGCCATTTTCTTTATTAGATAGATGGGGACTGTTACTTATTAAAGTGGTGGGAAAGCTGAAAAATGAAATTTCCAGGGCAATGATATAATATGAAGGTCACTAGAGGTTTTCATTTAATTTAATGCCTTGATATATCAAATTGACACATGCATGTGTACTATGTAGTGCGTCACATGAAACTTTACCTTCATGTTTGACAGTGGAGCTGTATAGGAGCTCTTCGTGAGAGGGCTGCGGATGGACTGATGCTGTGTGGACCGGCCGCTGCCGTTATATAGGTCCGGTCCGGTCCGGCCAGTCACGATCTCTAGAGGTCAGCTTGCAACACGCTGACACTACCGCCACCGTATTGGCACTGAAGGACACCGCATCTAGAGCATTATATCTATAATGAACATTATAACGATTACGCTTAGCATACGAAGAGGACACTGCAGCTTAGGTACAAAATTATTCCTCGTAGGGGCACTGCAGCTTAGGTACGAAACTATTTATCGTAGGACCTTTTGAAAAGGCGATTTTCGTTATGTTTACAATTATTTGGTGTACGAGTGCATTTCTTATCTCCCTAGATACCACGCAGGCACTTACATACCTACATTCCAGCGTCTATCACAATCAGAAGCAGTGGAAATTTAGAGCGAGCAGATTAATATGAAAAAGAAAAATCACAACAATGCCATGTCTGGATTATATGGAAGCCAAAAATCTGCGTATATAGGTATGTGTAGCTTGAATTTGGCCGCCTTCAACCGTCTATGTAGACTTTTTCTTATGACTCTATCTAGACTGTGCACAAAATGTGCACTGTGACAAACAAATATGTATGTTTGTTTATTTTCGCTGTTGCATTCATATGACTGCCTGTGCTTGTAAAGAAAGCTATTTTCTTTTTAAGCAACAATTTTGTTGTAAACAAATTGTTTTTCTTCATATTTACTTTCACCAGGCGGGAGGAGCGCTTGTACATTATGAATAAAGTAATCTTGGTGCATTTGGCGCGCAGTCAGGCGAGCGGAGGGACTCACTCGGGTGCATGAAAGTACAGTAACTCTGCAGAGCATCACCTGAGGCGCGGCAATTACTCAATGGGGATGAAAATGTGCCCAACGTACACGTGCCACAGTGCAGTTATTGCCAAATACTAAAACTAAATGTTTTTATTTGTCATTTGTGCTCTCCCAGTACACTTACCTTCCCAAGAAAAAAATATTACCCTGTATTTTACCGCTTTTTCCGGCTTCGACTATGAGTCAGCTCCCCTGCCGGGTCCTTCGGCTCTGACTATCAGAAAAATATACGGCTCCGAGATCTCCCGCTCCGGGCGGAAACCGCCTTCCTAACCGTCTAAGGCTTCATCCCCTCACATTGCAATAAACTATTATATATGATTGGTGCACTCTGCACAGGTATTCAAAAACAGCAAAGCGGCCAACGCGGCCAAATGATATGCCTAGGTTATGTCTGTCCGCCTTTCTGTTGGCCTGTTTCTGGTTTCCAATAAGCTGTAAGAAAAAAATTGTCATGATCTTTGTCTTTTCCATTCCACTAAGCTAGTACTTCCTATGGCATGCTAATATCATCAAGACAGCATCATCATTCAAATGTAAAATTCATACTCTGATGACGGTCTTGTTCTCTTGCAATCTGTATTCTATGTTTTCGTCATTCGTCAACTGCAAAGCTATAAAGTATATTCTTTTTTTGCGAGCTTAGCCCCAAAATTCAGTAGACGCATGGTTCATAAACCAGCACAGTTTAGTGTAGGTATGTTGTGCCAGCACAGGCAAGTGTCGACCTACCGTCCCAACCATGCATATAATCCAACTTATCGTGTGACGAACAGTTACCGTTTTACAATGAAATGATGCGACATGTGACATGGATTTTATGGGATTATTTGTCTGCGAAGGGTGACTAAGATAAGTTAACCATTTTCCATCACATGTCACATTAAACATAAACTCTGTAAAAACCAACCGGTAGTAAGCCAACTCTTGTCCTGTAAGAACATCAAGTGATAATCGTGGCGATATTTTGGGTTTCGGGGCCAGGTAAATGCTAAAGGCTTAACTTTGGGCCCTCCATCACTTTGGGCCCTCCGTTGATTTCTGGGAGGCAGGAATTTTCCCAGATGTTTCATCACGAACATTTCATGTTTAGTTCATCGTCTTGAGCAAGGTCCGTAAAGGGCACTCGGTGAATTGAGCGACACATACACATTACACGGTACAAGTATCTGAAGATCAAGCGGTAGGTTTTGCACTTTTACATTTCCGGTTATATCTCAGAAACTAATCGATCTACGATGAAGCCATTTTACAAGATCATAGCCGGCTTGTTACCCAACAAGTCGATCGCATTTTCAACACTTAAAAGCTTAAGACGACGAAGATATAGCCTGAAGTACACTAAATTTTCAAGATGCAAAACCTACCGCTAAAACCCGCGAGACGTACCTACTTACATACCATCAAATTCGCCGAAAATTAAACAGTGGGGCTTGTGGGCACAGAGCCCACGGCATGAGCCATATTACAATCATTATGATAATTTTGATGGAGAATATTTGACGCCCATTTTTTGCAACATGCCACTTGACATTTTTAATTGCTTTGCTTATATTTTGCGGATATCCCAACTTCTAAAGCCAAGACAGCAGCATTTCGTCATGGCGACGAACTTCTCGCTCATGTGAGCTCAATGGCGGCGAACATCGGCCGCAAGTCTGACCCCGAGATCACCCGGAAGTTCAATACCCCGGAACAATAGTAAAGTATGGAATACCACACTCGCCGAATCTTTTGCCAGACCTTATATATTGTTTTAAATAGTATTTCACACATTCAACATTTCATGCAGCCTAACTCGCATACGTTGAGCACATTTGAACACCACTGGCATGCTTCAGCAATAGCAAACACGATCAATCATCAAGGGCATATTTGTGAAAACTGACGGACTAGTTTGGTGAGCTATTTAGAATCCGTATCCGGTGGAGGGAGTGCGGGCGCCACCGTTGGGGGCGCCGTAGCCACCGCTGGGGGCGGCCGGCTGGCTGTAGCTCGCGACAGGGGCGGCAGCAGCGGCCGGGGCGCCGTAGCCGTTGTTGGGGGTACCGGCGCCGTACTGGCCGTTCTGGCTGTCCTCGGGGAACTGCGCCTCGCCCTCGTACTGGACGTCAGCCACGAAACCAGAGTCGCCCTCCACGTAGTAGGTGACGGTCTGGACGCGGGTGTCGGGCAGCAGCACGCGGTACTCGCCCTCGACGCGGGTGCCGTCCGACTCCTCCTTGTGGCCGTAGTCGTTGCCCTCGTCGTCCTTGACCTCGTACTCGAACGAGTACGGCTGCGGCGGGAATTCCTCCTGGCCGGCGCCGTAGCTGGTCTGGGGAGCTCCGTAGCTCTGGGAGGCGCTACCCTGGGGAGCTCCGTAGCTCTGAGAGGCGGCTCCTCCGTTCCGCTGGGGAGCTCCGTAGCTCTGGGAGGCTCCTCCATTCGGTCGGGGAGCTCCGTAGCCCTGCGGCGAGCCGCAGACGGCAGCAGCCAAAAGCACGGTCGCCACGAACACCTGTTGGTTGAAGACCAAATGTCATGTAATATAAAGGTCAGGATCAGGAACATAGCTGTTGATCTTGCTGAACGATTTACAATTCTTGAGATATATCCATAGAAACTTTTTAGGCTACTTGATTTTTTTTAAAATAAAGCTGATGCAATTGCATAAAATATTGATATAGAGATCTACGTTGGTTTTAAACACACATGCTTATAGAAAATTGACTTTGTATTAAGTACCAAAAAAAAAAAAATGTACATACACCGAACAAATCAATTCACTTAGTTCAGTTCAAGTATCAAACAATAGTTGAATGAACACTAAAACGTAACCCAGCTACGTTTGATTCTGTTGCCCGAATGCCACTTACCTTCATGTTTCTGTTCTGTAGTGGACCCTGGGAAGGCTGTGGATGAACTGATGCTCGACTGACCGTCCGCAGCCGTTATATAGTCCGACCCCGCGCTGTCGGTCACGAATGCTGGCCATTTCGCACCGATTGGCCGGGGCTGCGGCGCCCAAACCAAGGTCGCTCCATGGATGATGAGCGTAGCCGGCTATGGGAATCGGTCAACCGTCGACGTATTAGGTATGTAGGTACATTCCCAGCTAGCATCGTTCATCAGCGCTCTTGAGCGCTATTATGACTTCAAGTACGAATGCTGGCACGGGCGTGCGATGTGGACTGTGTGAACTGTTTGAAGGCAATTTAACAGCTATTCTAGTATTTCATGGGTATGGGTAGGCTTTAGGCAGCAGTCTAGACCTATAGAATATTTCTCGGTGGGTCAATGTGCAATTTTGTGAATAACATAAACAATTTAGGGACTATTTTCATCTAACTAGTTACTACAATGGCTATTTTTTGTCGCTTTAGTCAGTTCATTCACTCCAGTCACTCAATAGTAGAATATATCGACAATATTTTTTATTGTTTGTGTGTGGGTGTCCACGTCAAAAGTGTACCCAGACCTTTCTCCATATTTTATCTTAAAAACGTCACACTCACAAACAATTGCCCTCGTTTGAGAGCCAAGGCAATGGCAGAACATTTGCTTTGCTTCTCAACTGTGCTCGGCACTCTGCTGACCAGCGCGTGCCGTTTAGAGCAACTGCTCTATGTATATGAGCCCCTTTACGTTGGGCCACCGCCGGCAGACTGGAGGTGGGTGATCGCCTTGACGACCATGTGGGAAAGAAGGCGACGGATCTCGTCGCTGATGGCGTCTTTCAGCTCCTGGGTCGACCCTGGATTGCCACTTGCCAGCGTACACACAGTCCTTTAGAAAGCCCCACAAGAAGAAATCTAGAGGGCTGAGGTCAAGCGAGTGGGGAGCCCATTCCATCGCGCTCTTCAAGCTGATGTGGCGGTCAGGAAAGTGCTTCTCCAGCCATTCCAGCGACCGTTTGGCGGTGTGAGGTGGCGCCCCGTCCTGTTGAAACGATTTTGCATGGCGACGGAGGAGCACTTTCCCGACCGCCACATCAGCTTGAAAAGAGCGGTGGAATGGTCTCCCCACTCGTCCAACCTCAGCCCTCTAGATTTCTTCTTGTGGGGCTTTCTCAAGGACTGTGTGTACGCCGGCAATTAAGGGTCGACCCAGGAGCTGAAAGACGCGATCAGCGACGAGATCCGTCGCCTTTTTTCCCACATGGTCGTCAAGGTGATCACCCACCTCCAGTCTGCCGGCGGTGGCCCGACGCAAAGGGGCTCTATAGAGCAGTTGCTCTAGCTGGCACGCGCTGGTCAGCAGAGTGCCGAGCACAGTTGAGAAGTATAGCAAATGTTTTGCCATTGCCTTGGCTCTCAAACGAGAGCATTTTATTGCGAGTGTGATGTGTTTAAGATAAAATATGGAGAAAAGTCTGGGTACACTTTTGACGTGGACACCCTGTATATGTATGGTAGGGGAGGGGGCAACTATTATAAGCTGCTATTTATAGGGAAGCACCCTTGCAGTTACGCGCCTACGACAAAAAATGTATTGCTCTTCGTAATCTGAGCCGGGTTTTCGCGATGTGCAATATTATTGAAAAAAATAACATAAAACTGATCAATTAGCTTGGGTGTAGAACACTTAGAAGTGTATGATTATTTGAGATAGGTAGATGTTATTCTATAATAATGCATACGGGCTGTTCTAACCTTTCACATGTTACACACACACAGCTGTAATCATCTCTTCCCCACCCTATCCCTATTTTTAACTGCGTGCCCACACATCTTTGTATTATGATCCCGTAGCTCAGTTGTAGAGCGTTGGACTCCGCGTGGTGAGAGCACGTGTTCCCGGTTATAACAGTTTGGGTTCGAAGCGCGGCGGGCGCTTGACATTTATGGGCCTCCTGACAGGTATGGCTGCGGTTGGTGGCAGCCGGCAGGCCGTAGCCAGGCGAAGTCAGTGAGGGGACCGGCCGTGCGCGGCTATGTGCGCACGTTAAACTTTGGACTCTAAATTCTGCCATAGAACTGGAATTGCGCGATCGGAGGGTAGAGGGCAGGGTTACCGCAACAATCTTCGCTTAGCGGTGGCTCTGTCCTTGTGAATCCTTCCTATCAAAAAGTTCGGAATAAATTTATAAAAAAAGAAGAAAAAAATGATCACAACTTTTACTCTACCAAACTGCGCTCAAACCTCCTAATCAGAGCATTGCAAGGCGCCATCTTCGCCGTTGTACATGAGCTCCATAGGCTCACTATGCAGATGGCCTCGCTCGTTTTCACATAGTCCTAGTCCCATGCACCTCTTTTTATCCAAATGACAAGAACCAGTCGACAGTGGCCATGGCCCATGAGTCTTGTGAAAATGTTCAATAAGGCATAACCATAATAAGATATCTTATGAACTACCAATAAGAGCCTATAACCAGACTATTTATCTAGGTAAAAGTGTTTTAGAAGCAATGCATACAGGCTTATTTAGTCCTTTAGAGCACATTCGGCTCTATTCGACAGCATACCTTTATTATATCAGCGAGGCTTACATATTTGAGAAGCAGTGACCAATAACAGATTCCAAGTGACAAGTGCTGTAGATATACTGCGTATACATAGTCAAACAGCTTTTGCTTAGTAGGGCACATGTACATATATGCAGTTATGCACGTGTGTGTTTGGTTCATTAGGTGACCCCGGACGATGCTGGTTTCCTGCTTACTAATGACCTCTATTCTAAATTATCTAACGTCACGAGAACTTTGCCCTTACAGAAGATTTGCATTCACCTCAAAACACTGTTAACCCATTTACGCCCTTCGTTGCGTTTTCGCAACGCAAGCAAGCGTCGACGTGATCGAAGCTTGAGAAGTGTGTAAAAGAGACTAACCGATGAGACAAGTTTCAGCGTATGTAGCATGGTTGTGCGCATGATGCTACGCAGTTACAAGTCTGTGCGGCCGGTAAGTTACTGCCTAGAGCTCCCAGAGGGAAGTCGAAGGTTTTGTGAGTGATGACGTCACGAAAACCAAGATAAGTAGGCCAAGTGCTTAATAATATCGTAATGAAAATTGTGTAAACATATTCTACAGAGTCCCTACAATAGCGTAGATATGCATTTTGTTAAGAAATAATGCTACAAAAAGGGTTTGTGACTATTTTCAAATATGACTACGGTCGCGTTGCGGGAACGCAACGAAGGGCACATCGGAAAGACAGCGGTGTTGCGAAAACGCAACGATGGGCACATTGGCAGGGTAGCGGAAGTATGAATATCAACAGTAGACTTCACTCGTGATACGCTGTGGGTTCTCTCTTTCTCTCCCCCATCTTCCTCCCTCTCTTCCTCGTTCCCAACTCTCTCTCTCTCTCTCTCTCTCTCTCTCTCTCTCTCTCTCTCTCTCTCTCTCTCTCTCTCTCTCTCTCTCTCTCTCTCTCTCTCTCTATCTCTATCTCTATCTCTATCTCTATCTCTTCTCTATCTCTATCTCTATCTCTATCTCTATCTCTATCTCTATCTCTATCTCTATCTCTATCTCTCTCTCTCTCTCTCTCTCTCTCTCTCTCTCTCTCTCTCTCTCTCTCTCTCTCTCTCTCTCTCTCTCTCTCTCTATCTCTATCTCTATCTCTATCTCTATCTCTATCTCTTTCTTTCTTTCTTTCTTTCTTTCTTTCTTTCTTTCTTTCTTTCTTTCTTTCTTTCATTTTGTAGCCATGAGGCTGTAGCGGCGGAATATCTTCAATTAAGGGGGGGGGCACTGCCGACTTTTGGTCCCATTCTTTCCATTTCCATTTCCATGCAACGCCTATAGGGATAATGTTAAAATGGCAAAATCAATGGGGGCACGGTGCCCTGGTGCCCCCTCCCCCCCGCTCCGCCGCCTATGCCATGAGGGACGTGTATAGGATAGGTATGTTTAGTGCAAGGTGCGTTCGCACGTAAAATGTTGCGACACATTTCATATTTGCTGGCTCAAACAGCCACAAACACTCCTTTCTTTTTCTCTCGCATATTATCGGCCTCGGGCTGTTCGTTCACCAAGCAATGTGTTCCCATGCATCTGAAAATCGCATGGTAGGAAAAGGACCCATGCATCAAACGGTCGGCGATGCTAACGGAGCTGAGAGATAATTAGGTCCTTTGGAAATTGGATCTACTATGTACATTGTGCATAAATAATGAACAACGGGGATGTATTCTGGTATCAGGCGACAGATAGGCATCGCCATTCTCTGGATAGAATCTGCTGACTACCAACATTTACGTTAGAAAAGATAACTGAGGGTCGGCAAATAGTGGGATAGGCCCCCTCTGGGGGTAGCTGAGCCCTTCGGTAGGGGTAATGAGGGCGGACCTGGAAAATAATAGTTTTTAGGATTCATAACTCGCATAGATTCATAAGCTGCTTGATGTGGAGTATACGCTTGTTTTCTTACATTGATAGGCTTTTTATCTAATCAGACCATTTTTAGAGCTAGCAGGATTATTGGAATTAGGGGAGACATTTGTCTGACCGGACACGGTTAATCGTAGACTGGAGACTGAGCCCAGCCAGTGGGCAGGCCACCCATGAAACACCCCCTTCCCCCCTCCCAAGCACTCACTGCACCCGGCTACAGGCGCGCCCCTATGTGAGCTGCCCGATTGCGATATACGTTGCCGGTCCAGCCCGGAACAGGGGGTTGAGGCGTGGAGGAGGATTCAACTATCCTGAAGATGGAAAGGACGGATTGACGCCGAATCACCACTCTGTCCTGGCATTGTCTCGAGAAAGAGGTTACACGTGAAGGTCGCTGAGAGTGGGGCCATGAACATTTTGGATTAGGATTAACATGATAAACTGGGAGTCGATTTGTTTTGATGCGCTATGCCTTACGCGGGTAATTTGTTAGAGCCGGATCGGTCCTTTTTTCTTTTTGCTGAGAGTGGGTACGACTAACCTGCAATGGAATTTAACTTTACTCCTAGGAGGGTGGTTAACAATGATTGCGAATATACGCGCATACGTGAGGCACTGGTTTACTCCCAATCCTCCGTTTAATTGTATTCACTTATTCAGTGTGGGGTCTGATAGGTGGGGGTAATGGCTCTGTCTAGCTTCCAAAAAGAAAGCATCACCCTGGATACGTGTCGACCACAACTTTAAATGAACAGCAATGGACAACGTAAATGGTTGATAATGACCGTGTTGCCATGCTCCCCGTTCGCGAATCATGAAGTTATGCTTCCTCGCCGAGGCTCTTAGGCGGGTTATAGAGCACGACGGATGTGGGTTCCGCATTTTCAAGCAATAGTTGTCAACAGTTGATTGATGTTTTGTCAAAACATATTAGCATATACGGCAGTTCAGTGTACTTTATGTCCGTCTGATGTGCCCGTCGTTGCGTTTTCGCAACGCTGATGGCGCCCGGTGTGCCCTTCGTTGCGATTTCGCAACGCAAGTTTTTTACGTTTTTCTCGAAAAACTTTTGCTGCAAGCAAAAATTATTTTCGATTCCATGCAAGGCCCTGGTAGGAGCATAACATATTTTGATTTCGTCGATTTTCATGATGGTCAATATTCCTGGGCATAAATGGGTTAAGCAAAAGCCCTTATTTACATAGATATAGACTCTTTCCCAGCAACCAGATGTTGAGTTCGGTGACCTCGCGCTGGTACATGCATTTTGTCATTGTAGACCGTTTGTTTGCGGTGCGCCGACTGTCACGGGGATTTCAGAGAAATTCGGAATTCATGACAATTCAGAGTTGATTGCAGCTTTAGTAGTTAGTTCGTTTGACCCATAGACAACTTCTCGCAGGTTTCATTCGGCCTGCATCAAAAAATGATTGTCGTCTATTACCATTCTATAGCATAGATAAAACAGGGAACAGACCCCAGGCCTCATGGGCAGGTGCCACAAAGGAGCGACTTGGACATCCATTCACTGTGGATTCCCTCACCGCCACCACCGCGGAGTGAATGAACCTTTCGGCAACTCATACACAATATTATTTGTGTGCATCATTTCAATACTAAACCCCATGTCGTCGAAGATACCGCAAAAGACGTGATTCATTTAAAATTTTATTGTTGACAGAGATGCATAAACAAAGCGTCAGATATATAAATTAAAGTTGGCACTTAACAGGCGCAAAACACAAAACCTTTACAACCACACAAATTTATACAGTCTCATACATTGATCACGCGATCGCATTCAGACTTTGCGTGCTTACTGACTTAAGTGATACATTTTAGAATCCGTATCCGGTGGAGGGTGTGCGGGCGCCACCGTTGGGGGCGCCGTAGCCACCGCTGGGGGCGGCCGGCTGGCTGTAGCTCGCGACGGGGGCGGCAGCAGCGGCCGGGGCGCCGTAGCCGTTGTTGGGGGCGGCGGCGCCGTACTGGCCGTTTTGGCTGTCCTCGGGGAACTGCGCCTCGCCCTCGTACTGGACGTCAGCCACGAAACCAGAGTCGCCCTCCACGTAGTAGGTGACGGTCTGGACGCGGGTGTCGGGCAGCAGCACGCGGTACACGCCCTCGACGCGGCTGCCGTCCGACTCCTCCTTGTGGCCGTAGTCGTTACCCTCGTCGTCCTTGACCTCGTACTCGAACGAGTACGGCTGCGGCGGGAATTCCTCCTGGCCGGCGCCGTAGCTGGTCTGAGGAGCCCCGTAGCTCTGGGAGGCGCTACCCTGGGGAGCCCCGTAGCTCTGGGAGGCGCTGCCCTGAGGAGCTCCGTAGCTCTGGGAGGCTCCTCCGTTCCTCTGAGGGGCTCCGTAGCTCTGGGAGGCTCCTCCGTTCCTCTGGGGAGCTCCGTAGCTCTGGCCGGGACCAGACCTTCCCAGGGGACGGTCGGCAGAGACGGCGGCCACCGCCAACAGAGCAATCGCCAGTACCTGGAGAAAACAAAAGCGATGCATTGAATCTTAGCAGCTCCCATACGAAGGTGCTACATAGGGGTGTTTTGAGAATGAACTGGCAAGCAAATTATACTTAGGTTTCACATGACTTGAAAAATCTTTCATTTCTGTGTTCTTTTTATAATGAATTGCACATCATGCCAAATTTTGTGAGCGAGTCGCATCATATCTGTTTAATTTACGTAAGTGATTTTCTTAATGGCACATTCCTTTTGTTTGACTAATACAGATTCATAGTTACAGGGGCTAAATGAGATATTTTTACACGGACATCTCTATACCTCTCTATATAGACGGATACGAAGTTTGCGCCTAAATTCATAAATAAACCAAGAAAACAAAGTGAAAGACACTGGAAATATCCACGCTAGCATAAAACGATCCCCCTACCTTCATGTTTTCTCTGGGACACTCAGTTCGGCTGTACTCTTCGTGAGAGGGCTGCGGATGGACTGATGCTGTGTGGACCGGCCGCCGCCGTTATATAGGTCCGGTCCGCTCCAGCTAGTCACGATCTCTAGAGGTCAGCTTGCAACACGCCGACACTGCCGCCACCGAATAGTGACATCTGATGGATACGACACTTTGGGTATGGTCATCACTGCTCAGGGGCGAATGTTATGTTTGAGCTAATTTTTCAAAAGGCTTTCGAATCCTGACCGCAAATTAGATCTTCACCGTATGACCCCTACATACAGGGTGTCCAGAAAAAAAGGATACTATTTTTTTTTGCTGTAATTCCGAAAATAAACACCTTACATTTTAAAATGGCACATGCTTGTATTCGCCAAAATATGGCAAAACAGACAGCAGGTGCCACATGGCATGTAAACTCTTTGGTTAGTTGCGGCAGCTCCTCAAAGCAGATACTCAATGTGAGCGGCCTTACGGCGGATCAGCTCCAGCACTAGCACAGTCTGCAGGTGACTGATGGTCATGTTGACCATCTCGGAGGGCAGGCAGACAACTTTCCAACGACGCATTACAGTGCTCATGAGTTTTGCCAAATCTTGCACTAATAAGCACATGAATTTGGAACAAAATCGGCACGTGCGTTAATGAATGCGACTTAATTTCCGTAGTATCTTTTTTTTCTGGACACCCTGTATTATGTTTTTTCTACGTACCTATTTTGTGTGATATCCCCGCGGTAGGTAGTTGGACGGCACATAACAAAAACTGGAGGGCATTGTGTGATAGGATAATATCGTTGAGATATTTATTAGGCGCTGCTGAACAACCGGGCTTAAGTTTGCCTTCAAGGACCACAAATATGTCACATTAGAGCAGTTTCAACATTTCGGAGCTCAAAATAGGCATGGAAGCCTCCCTGGTGCCCAAAATGGTTTTGTCTAGTTCTAAGGAAGAAAGCAGCTAAAAGGGCAATTGAACTTGAAACGTTTGAAAAAGTGCAAGCTATTCATCAAATATCTTTGAGTCCAGACTTGCAGGGCCCATGAAAGCTTAGATTTTCTACAGTGCTTGTCACGTAACAAAGAATAGTTTCCTAAATTCATCGTAATAGTCTTATAACGCCACACAAAACCCGTGTTTATAATTCGATAATTCGATGTTTTCACATATGTTTTATTATGTGAAAGCAGTGTTGCATATTCTCACAGAAGTATGTATGACTAGCATATTGCCCTATTGCTAGATGCAGATAATTTCGATATCCTTAGCAACAAATCACAATACAAGAAATAGCCAGCCATTGCTGCGTGCCTCTCTTTTCAAATTCATGGCCGAGGCCTAGGGAGGTGACCGGAATGCATTTCAATGAAGCTGTGGCTCCAGGGTAGACATATGTCCTTACCCTGTAGGAAACTGCGCACGGAAAGCGGACGCTGAGTGAAAGATATGCATGGTCGATCCCTCCCTCAGCGCGTCATACTAGTTAGATTCACTTGGAAGCATTCGATAGCAAACGAAACTGGTCTTACTTTTTCCATCCCATTGAAAGAAGTAGATTGGCACACAATTAAATCTTGTTTGTGTACCAGTACTATAGTTAGTCTAATAATATACTATACTATATAATACTATACTATAGCTGTCTAAACTATTATAAAGGAGAAATGAGATAGGAATTGCTCTTGAGAATGACTTGCTATCGCCACCTCTGTGTTCTTCCTCATTCCCCCAAAACGGTACTGGAAGGTAGGCAACCCGCATGGCACGCTGCGCCGCCCGGGCGGCCGAAGGATAGCCAGCGCTGTATTCCGTTCGGGGCACGGCACTGGAAGTTAGGCAGCCCGCACGACACGCTCCGCCGGGCGGCCGAGCGGCGGGCGGGTGGATTCTGTAACACGGTGCTGGCTAGCAGCCGTCAGCCCGCGGATCTATTTACATATACGAATGAGTTCTCTTATGCGGCAGCGAATAGCGGAGGCACCGAGAACGCACTACATGAATAACGCATATATATGTCATATAACTGCAATTAAGTACACAATAGGTAAAGCGTGCTGCTAAGAAAATGGCAAAACAAAACTTAATTTAACCCTGATTTTGCCCTGATAACCCTTAGCAGAAATGGTTCGATCCATGAAATTTTGTACATCTGGGATCTTGTTTCTCCTATGAATTTTGACGCTCTTTTGAACGCCGATTACAGCTTGTCGCGTCGCGTCGTGGCCGAGCCGAGTTAGATAGAAGCGTAGCCTCACCCTGCGCTCCCACTCCCCCGCCTCGATGTGATTCGATTTAACCCGGCAGTTGCTGGGGTATTTCGCCACCCACCGTTTGCTGGGGGGGGGGGCGTTAAACGCCCCCAGCCGATAACTCGAGAACCAATAGGCGCAGCGAAACGCACGAGGCGGCAAACGAAAGAACGCGACGAGACGCTTCAGATGAGTACTTTAAAGTTGAATTTTGAGGTCACAGGTCGGGTCAAGGTCAGGTCAAACACCTGAAATCGGGCTTTCAGTAGCATGGACTTCAGGACTTCGCAATGGGCGCCTCTCGTCATAAACTCTGTCAAAACGGTGCACAATCCATCATATAAGGCCTACAAGAGTGTCAGCTCCATGTAGGGGTCAGTCAAGCATAGGTCAGGGTCAAGGTCAGGTCAACCGGGCAGGCACATATCCCCGAAAATCAAAACTGATATTAGCAGCCTGTGACACATGTTTTATGGGTAATTTGGGGCGTAGAACACGATGGTGGCATTCATTTTATCATATGTGTACGTGTTTGGCTCAAAAAGTTCAATTTAAGAAATGCATGTATCATGGTCGTGAAGTAGTCACGAGAAATTGCCAAGATTCGGTTCAAGATTTTGGAAAATGCGGAACGATAATCAATAATCGAAGATAGCCATTTGATTGTTCATGGTATTGGCAGTCTAATGGTGTTTACGGCATGTCTGTATATCTATTCTGTGATTTTATATGATTTTTTGAACATATGCCGTTTTTGGTCGAAAACTCAGAAATCATGACGTCACTAAAACCTCGATATCTCAAAAATTTTCCGACCGATTTTTTTGAAACTTTGTCACAATAAGCTTCAATCAATTCCCTACAGGTACCCAAAATTTGGCGCGCCTGCGGCGCGCCGTTTTTATGCTATGGCCCGGCGAAAAAAGTGGGGGCGTTTAACGCCCCCCCAGCAACTCGCGGGTTAACACACCAGCCATTTTTGAGTCATATAAGAGATCAGGTCACCAGAGGTCATCGAAGACAGAAAATTTCCGACTTTGGCGCTGCAATACTGGACATATTCGCTCCTTAGCTGCAACATCACACATAACAATTTCGTTAGCTCTCTTACCGCTCTTTCACAAATATGCTTTTCCTTTGCACCAATGTTTTCTCCAGCGCGTATCCATTTTTTCACCGCACGTCGTCCGGATGCACGACAAAACGGTGATAACACGAGCCAAGCGGGTAGGCAGCTCCGGGCTGACCGAGGTCTACCATGGGAAGTGGTCCTAGGAACAGAGGCTAGTTTTACCAACAGAACAAGCGCCGGCTGAAAAACTAATAAACCAACAATATGATAACATGCATATGAGGTTGGATGGATCATATTTGTTCACAATGGTTCACATTATTTTTTTCGCTCAGCTGTGAAATTTGGGAGTGACTACTGACGTAACGCCAGAAGCAACTAGCCGAAAATTTTACGGTTGCTAAATATAACCTCAGCTCCACAAAGTATGGGATTCAGGGAAAGTTAGTTATAAAGAGTTCAAGCATTGCAGCTTTTGCATTAGCCCGGTCGGGCCCGGGGGGTAATTGTAACGCAGATGCGTTACATTTTTTTCATCTTTCATGCTGAACTGCAAGCTGTGCCACAAGCTGAAACACGGCCATCTGCGAGCGCCGCACAGACACGGTCAGCCGGCTAAATCGGCTGTGATACCCTCTCTCCGTCCCAGCTGGCGTCCACACAGACGGCGCAGTCGGCTCTGACAAACAGGGGTCCTCTATAGATGACCACCCCATGACTTCATGAGAACCCGGATCTGAAGCCAACAAATAGCATACCGAAACGCGCCATTCTGCCAGCCTCGAGCCATTAATCAGTTTAGCCTTTGGAAAACAAGACTCTGTCCCACGCTCGGCACCCCGCCAGAGAACAAGGAGAGGGGAGTGCAGACCGGCCCTGATTTGAACCAAAACAAGAAAGGGGAGCGGGGACCGACCCGGTTTGTACGAAAACAGGATGAAATGGAACTCGGTCGCCAACGACAAAATATAGGACATCTGGCCGGACCTGACTTCAAAACAAGGGGAGTTGAGGGCCAGGCCCGCCACCTGGCGCCTCAGGCGCCGTGAGCGCCGGCGGCGAATTCCACCCGATCGCTGCGTGAAAGGGTGCGACTGCCATGGCCGGAGGGGAACCGAACTTTGTCAGCAAATCACGAACTTTCGAGGGCGGAGCCGAGTGCAGCTTCTGAGAATGGAGGACGGAGATTGGACAAGGTGATGCTGCCCGGCCCTCTGAAGTATGACGTCATCAGAAGTATAAGTTGATGAAACGGAACTGAAAAGACTCGCTCGGACGACGCATCCCGCGCCGGTGGCACTCTCTCGGCCCACGTCTCTCGTCTGACATCGCGGACAGCCCACGAGACACCAGCGGCTGGCATCACGGCGCCGGCGGCGGCTCTGGCCGCCGGGCCGGGCGCTGGACGGACACGACCATCATGTCAGCGCCTCCATCTCAAGTAAGGTCACGCGGTGAACACGGGTGCGCACCTAGTCCCTAAATCCTTCAAGTAAACCCCCCCCCTCGTTACTGTTATGTGAGCCACATTATATTCCCCTTTTTGGTGTCGTCCGCAATATTTTAGGCCATTCAGTTTAGGCAGTTCAATTTATTCTTCGGACTTTGAGTCTAGGTAGCTTAAGTTCACAATTCGATTCGGTCAATTATGTAACTGTGCGCGTGGTGCGAGACGCGTGCCGACGTGGACCCTCGTCCGGCGCCCCGTGGTGATTAAGGCGGACGGAGGGGATTATGCACTGTGGGGAGTCTGGAAAGGGACGGGCGACTGTGTACCGCATCACGCGGCTTGTGGGGCTCAGTTGATGGGCGGCCTGGGCCCAGAATGTTTCTTTTAAATTTGACGTGTAAGGGAATTTAAGGTGTTGCGTCGGAGTATGTAAATAAATGGGACTTGTAAATATTGAAATACGAGTGTGAGTAGTGCTGAAGGGCAGGGATCGGAGGATGGAGCATAAAAGGCCATATGCCAACCCACAGTCGGGAAAGAGGTCATTTCCAAGGTGTCTGGCCAGAGCAATTTACAACGATCAGTTTTCTTTATCTGTTTGATTTTACACAGTGCACACAGGGATTATACAGGGAGCACAGAACACGCAGGACCTCCCTAGCCTAACCGATACTGGAGCTTCTCCGGTTGACTCCTAAGTGCCCTTGCCAGTGGATTTCCTGGCACTCCATCCTCCCCAAATTATCCCACGGTCCAACAATAGCGATTACACACAACACACACAGGACCTCCCTAGCCTAACCGATACTGGAGCTTCTCCGGTTGACTCCTAAGTGCCCTTGCCAGTGGATTTCCTGGCACTCCATCCTCCCCAATTTATCCCACGGTCCAACAATAGCGATTACACACAACACACACAGGACCTCCCTAGCCTAACCGATACTGGAGCTTCTCCGGTTGACTCCTAAGTGCCCTTGCCAGTGGATTTCCTGGCACTCCATCCTCCCCAAAATTATCCCACGGTCCAACAATAGCGATTACACACAACACACACAGGACCTCCCTAGCCTAACCGATACTGGAGCTTCTCCGGTTGACTCCTAAGTGCCCTTGCCAGTGGATTTCCTGGCACTCCATCCTCCCCAAATTATCCCACGGTCCAAACAATAGCGATTATACACAACACACACCGGACCTCCCTAGCCTAGCCGATACTGGAGCTTCTCCGGTTGACTCCTGAGTGCCCTTGCCAGTGGATTTCCTGGCACTCCATCCTCCCCAAATTATCCCACGGTCCAAACAATAGCGATTACACACAATACACACAGGACCTCCCTGACCTAACCGATACTGGAGCTTCTCCGGTTGACTCCTAAGTGCCCTTGCCAGTGGATTTCCTGGCACTCCATCCTCCCCGAATTATCCCACGGTCCAAACGATAGCGATTATACACAACACATACAGGACCTCCCTAGCCCAACCGATACTGGAGCTCCTCCGGTTGACTCCCAAATGCCCTTGCCAGCGGATTTCCTGGCACTCCACTAATCAATTTACCAACGGTCCGCATACAAGGAGCGCACATAGACTTTGCCGCACACGAAATATATGTAACTGTACCCCACATGGACACTGCAAGGGACGGAGCCGGGGAGATAGATGATGCACGTTACGCCCCTGTGCGTGGAGAATCCACCGACGCGGCCAAGGGTTAGGAGGGAGATGAGAAGCGAGTGAAATGGAAGAAGACTGTACACGGAGAGGAATCGGATTTCCTAAATGTAGCTCAGCTCGGATAGACCCCACTTAAATAGTAGGCCTCGCTTGGGTAAGCCCTGGATACGTGCAATAAGTCGCGAAGTGAAGAGAAAGGATGAGAGCGAGTTGAGGATCGATTATTGAGGATGAGTGCATAGCCGACGAAGGCTAATCCGTTCGGTTGCCGGCGTGGGCCCCATAAAGCCGTGGCTATACGGAGACGATGCAGGCAGCCCGGAGGGACCTAGTGACCCCCCCCGGTTTTAAAAGATAGGTTAGGTCCGCTATCGGTCCATTGAGTGATCAGCGCAGGATGACATTCGATAAGTGACGTAGGTAGTTTCGGAGATGGTTAGGACCCCAGGCGTCCCAGCGAGGAGACGTATGCCGCCGGTTAAGTAATGTCCCGCGAAGAAACGTGTGATGCTGCAGGACGGGGGTGAACATTAAATACCAAAGCATGCGAGTCGGGTGATCGCGGTAAGTCGGTACTGGCCACCCCGCTGTCAGTCGATTAACTCCGGCCGTGCAGCGGTCATTTCGGATAGGTCTGTGACGACAGCTTAACTACCAGCAACGGATAGATAGGGCTTCGGACACCTATAACGCTGGTAGTCGTGGATTGTGTGAAGCCAACGGAGGCTAACCCGTTCGGTCGCCGGTGCTGTTTCAAAAGCCGTGGCTATACGGAGACGATGCAGGCAGCCCGGACGGACCTAGTTACCCAGCCCGGTTTCAAAGTTTAGATAAGCCCACCGCGGGCCGTGGTACGCTTAGTTTTCGTTTTCTTATAGGCAATTTGGCACAACTGGTAGTCATGGATTCGTGTAAAGCCGACGAACGACTAATCCCTTTCGGTCGCCGGGGGCTGGCCCGAAAACCGCGGCTATACGGAGACGACGCAGGCAGCCCGGACGGACCTTAGTTACCCAGCCCCGGTCTCAAATTTCAAATAAGTCCCCCGCGGAAACCGGACTACACGGTGTCCTGCGAGCCGTAGTCTCGGAACCGCTGGCCGAAGGACATTTATGTTTTTGTGTAGGTAGTTCGACATGGTGATGGGATGGACCGCAATAAGTCACGTAACGCGAGGGTCGAGTGCCGAAATCTGTGGTGGGTCGTATCTCTAATTGTGTAGCGTGAGCATTATGAAGCGTTCGTTTGATGTACGGAGCATTGCGGTTATGAAGGGATAACGGTTAATAAAATCTAAGGTCAATGACTTAATTACGACTTGCGCACGCCTTAGCACCACCGGGGGAAGTTAGGCAAAGGGGGAGGGATCAGAGATGGTTAACTCTGATAATTTATAAGGTATGGCTGGGCGTATGACAGAAATGAGAGGGGACGGGCAAATGAACGTATGATTGGCATGTATATCCGGTGGGAGATAACCCTCAGCTAGGACGGGTGCTGTTGTTTGAGAGTGGGACCTTTGTTTAGTAGAGTTGGGTTCGTATTTCAATATGATCAAGGATAATGGGTTATTGTTTATCCCTCCTCCCATTCCTTAACCCTGGCCTATGTGTTTCCGATGATTGATCGCCCCGGAAAGATAGAGTCAGAGTCGGAACGGGTTCGCGAGGGGCTGGACACTGAGAAGGGCTTCTAGGAGCGCACCGATGGAGCTCGCTCTCACTATCTACCTAAGAAGACACTGCCCGGTTAGCCCCGCAACGCCGCGAAACCCCGCTACATAATCCCAACCACCGCAGCCCGGGGAGCGGCGTTTTTCGCCTTCCCCCCCCCCCCCGTCTAACTCCGTCAATAAGGGAGTTACGGAAACAAAAGCGATACCAAACAAAAGGTCCTTACGAGACAATTCTAAAGCACCTAAAATTTTTGACCTCAGGTCAATTTTCAAGGTCAGAGGTCAAGGTCAAAGGCAAAAACCGGCACATGTGCAGTGATCTCAAAGTAAGCGTTCTAGAGGACGACAGGATGCATCAAACCGGTAAAATTGGGTGTCAAACGAAAGGAGAAAATCTGAGGATTCCGAAACTGTGCTCAAAATCAAAGGTCAAGGTCAAGGTCACGCTCAAAATTGACCTCAAACTTTGCACTTTTTCGTACATCTTGCGTGCTAACTTCCAAGATGTTTTGAAATGTTTTGAGGCTTATCAGTTCCCTATTTGTGGTTCATTTTACGATACAAGGCTGCTCAAAGGTCAAGGTCACAAAAGAGTATCCTTGCTAGAGCCTATTTCACTGATACAAGTTAGTAATAATAAAAAGACAATTTTGCCATCCGGAAGCTCTAAATGAAGGCTTAGAGGAAAATAGATGCCAGATTCGTGATCAGCGGGTACAAATCCATCATAGGCGACCTTTCATGTGTCAAGGTCAACCAAAGGTCATTCGAGGTCACATGAGGTCAACATAAAACTGGACCTTTTCCAAACAAAATATATATCATTCGACGTGGCTTGACAAGACGAATGCGACGGTACCACTGCCGTAGCTCTAGGACCATTCTTGTCGAAGTTATGTGCGAAAAAAAAACTAAAACCACATTTCGGGGTCGTTGCATTGGCCTGACCTCTGACCTCAAGTCGCCAAAACTATTTTTCTATTTTTTTCTAAGTCAAACGCTCCGTGCTCGTAATTTGTCTTTATCTCTAAAACTCTATTTTTAGCAGCTATTTGAAGTTTGCGTCTGTGACGCCGAAGTTTGCCGTGCAGGGGTCTTGGAAAATCAACCCTTTGACGTCATCAAGGGGACTAGGTCCATTTTTTTACTTCAGAAGATGTCAAATTGATTGGAGAAAAAGTACTGAAAGTTTCGCTTTCCTATCCCTAACCGTTCGGGAGCTATCGCAAATATTCGCCAGGGGGGGGGGGCGAAAAATTCGCCCCCCCGGGCCCGCGAGGTTTAGGTTACCTACTGGCTTCTGCAAGATTTATCTACGAAGGTCGGAGTGGTTTATTTGCATGTCTACATCCTCCCACACCTCTTCAAAATCGAGGCGCAAGATCAGTTACCCCCAATCGTCAAGCAGCTTCATAAAGATCTAAGAAATATGTGGGACTTTTTATTGACAGTGATGCAAAGACAATGCAACAGGTATAAATAAAACTCAGCGCTTCAGAAACACACAACACGCAACATTAACATTCACACAAACGTGTTCAATCTCTCAAATAAGTTCATGACCACACTCAGAAATCGTTTACATACTGACTTCGTGATCTATTCATTTTAGAATCCGTATCCGGTGGAAGGGGTGCGGGCGCCACCGTTGGGGGCGCCGTAGCCACCGCTGGGGGCGGCCGGCTGGCTGTAGCTCGCGACGGGGGCGGCAGCAGCGGCCGGGGCGCCGTAGCCGTTGTTGGGGGCGCCGGCGCCGTACTGGCCGTTCTGGCTGTCCTCGGGGAACTGCGCCTCGCCCTCGTACTGGACGTCAGCCACGAAACCAGAGTCGCCCTCCACGTAGTAGGTGACGGTCTGGACGCGGGTGTCGGGCAGCAGCACGCGGTACACGCCCTCGACGCGGCTGCCGTCCGACTCCTCCTTGTGGCCGTAGTCGTTGCCCTCGTCGTCCTTGACCTCGTACTCGAACGAGTACGGCTGCGGCGGGAATTCCTCCTGGCCGGCGCCGTAGCTGTTCTGGGGAGCCCCGTAGCTCTGGGAGGCACTGCCCTGAGGAGCTCCGTAGCTCTGGGAGGCGCTGCCCTGAGGAGCTCCGTAGCTCTGGGAGGCGCTGCCCTGGGGAGCTCCGTAGCTCTGGGAGGATCCTCCGTTCCTCTGAGGAGCTCCGTAGCTCTGGGAGGCTCCTCCGTTCCTCTGGGGAGCTCCGTAGCTTTGGCCGGGACCAGACCTTCCCAGGGGGCGGTCGGCAGAGACGGCGGCCACCGCCAACAGAGCAATCACCAGCACCTGAAAGAAACGACGTTTTTGGCAGGGGATGAGACGTGACATTGCGCTCAACTCGTCTTATAAGGAGGATACGAGCCACCGCTATAAGAAGTCAACATTTTTTCCCAGTAATTGATAAATACTAGCAAAAAGAGTGGATAAAACCATAAAAACAATGTTCCATGGCAATGATGTAATACCGATGTCAATATATGCTCTTAAATAAATTTATGCCTCGAAACATCCAGTTGATGCATACTTATGTAGTGTGTCGCATAAGGCTTTACCTTCATGGTTGACAGTGGAGCTGTATAGGAACTCTTCGTGAGAGGGCTGCGGATGGACTGATGCTGTGTGGACCGGCCGCCGCCGTTATATAGGTCCGGTCCGCTCCGGCCAGTCACGATCTCTAGAGGTCACTATCTTGCAACACGCCGGCACTGCCGCCATCCTCGTCACACCGTGAGTGATGCGGGCGTAGAGGACTCTTCCTTTCTGTTTTGGATGATGGTAAGCAGTGAACTTAAGTAAGTGGTAACTTTGCACATACAGTGAAATGTGCCGTGAAAGTATCTTCATAAAGACAGACACAGCCCTTTTAGCTGCATTTGTTGAGTTGCAAACATATTCGAGAATGGAAAGCCCAAATTTGGCTATTGTTGTCACTTGCCCGACATAAAAATTAGCTATTTTAACTCTCGCACGTATTTAACTCTGTATTTTAACTCTCGCACATGCTTACCATACTGTATTTGCCTTTTTGCGTCTCAAATATGGGGCAGGTGGGGGGAAGTTCATAGGATCCTATACGGACTTTCCCTGTGGAAAAAAAAAACATTTGTAGGAGGGCCCTGCGGAAAGCCGTAGTCAGTCCCTCATTGACCTAGAATTTCACGAAAAAGAGCATGCTTGCTGCCTGTGACGAGATGGAGTCGATTACACCCAATTTTAGCTCTCGCGAGCTTGAAGACGTTTTTCGCCTTCTGATGAATACAAACGATAGTTGCCGAACGTTTAACTACATAAAGATAGAAGAGCAAAGCTGTGAATACGTAAACCCATTAATTTGACATCTTCTGTGGTAGAACAAAATAGACCTAGCGTCTTGATGGCGTCACAGGATCGTTTTTCACGGCATGAAATCTGGCATCACAGACGTAAACTTCAAACCACTGCCAAAAATAGAGTTTAAGGGAAAACCCAAATTACGGACAAGGATATATGTTACGGGTCATATGCTAACTTGGGCAGTATGCAAACTACCCGGGCAGTATGCAAACTACCCAACAGCTCGGGCAGTATGCATACCGCCCGGGTAGTATGCATACTACCCGACTCCTTGGGCAGTATGCATACCGCCCGGGTAGTTTGCATACTGCCCGGGTAGTATGCATACTGCCCACCTTTCATCTCACGGGCAAGATGTTTACTCGGGCAATATGCTGACCGCGGCTCGTGAGACTAGTTTATGCAATAGCTTGCATACATGTCTATGACAGACGCTTTAACCCATACGCTGGGGCGGTGCCCGGCGCCAGCCGTGCCGGGCTGGGGGGGGGGGGGAGGGAGTTAAACAACCCTGCTCGGCTCCTGTGCAACTTAGCGGCACAGGAGTAAGTGGCATGTAAGATGCGGTAACCAGCATTCAAAATAGGGTAAAAAATCATGACGAAGCTACTGCAGTCATTTTTAGGTCAGGTCAAAGATCAGGTCAATAGAGTGAAAAAAGGTCAAATTTGGCTTTCTTAACAAATTGGCGCCCATAACTCGTTAGCAAGTAGATCTACAGTGCCGCAGAAAGTTGCCTTCGATAACTCGCTTTCTCGAATAAGCATTCAAAGTTGACCTAAAATTAACGGTCTAGCCTCAAAAAGGCAACAATGCTTAAAATTGCTGTTTCGACGATTTTCCTTAAATATTTATTGATCCAAGATAAGTACGAAATCGTTTTTGCCAACATCGTGTTTCTCTTGTCGAGACAGGTCGAATGCACTGTACTTAATTTGACTTTAAAGCCACTTTGAAAATTTGACCTAAGGTCAAGGTCATAACCTGACATGAAAAGGTCTTGTTCTTTATTAGCCAATCATTATCGTCGCCCTGAACACATCTTAGGTTGTTTACATCGCTCAAACATGTCTCCATCAAAAGTTATCGTAAAACAACTGCTGAAGACATTTGATGACCTGAGATGACCTCTTGGTCATAAAGAGAGGTCACAAAAGCCATTTTCCGATTCGGCTTGTCATGTTTACCTGTAATCCAATGTTTGAGAGTGTTTAAAATTATTTTGATCCAAAAATGCGTCTTTAATTCAACTTTATCCTGTCAACCTCTAAGGGGGACTACGCAAAATTGACCTGACCTGAGATCATCGATATTATTTCAAAATTATATTATATGCGTTTTGTACAATGACATGTTTTTACTCTCATCAATCGCTAAAAGTTTCAAAGCGATAGTTGAGTCGGTACAGCTATGGCGAACATACTAGCTTTTTCTGAGATAAGGTCACTTGAACTGACCTGATATCCCGACCATCAGAACTCAACTTGTAACGTCTTACGTGTAAATATGTAGTTTTATGCAGCATTTGCTATTGAAGCTGTAGTAAAGCCCTCTACAGGTTCAGGTGCCAAACCAAAGCCAGCGAGTGATGACACTCTCGTCACGCTATATCTGGCGTCATTTTAGATTAAAGTGAATTGTTGGCCGTTGGCTAATTAACAATGAAATTCTGAGAAGAAAAATTTGAATTTTTATATTCCAACCTTTATTCTATCCTTCTATCGATAAATCACGTTTGACGGCGCAAAAGGACATCGCGGATGAACTACATTACTCAGAGAGTCATTGACATGTTAAAAATGGACATGGAATACGCAACTTCAAGATAAGAAGCGGGCAGTATGCAAACTGCCCAAGTTTTGGGCGGTATGCATACTGCCCAAGGGGTCGGGTAGTATGCATACTACCCGGGCGGTATGCATACTGCCCGGGCTGTCGGGTAGTATGCATACTGCCCGGGTAGTTTGCATACTGCCCAAGTTAGCATATGACCCGTAACATATATATAGCATATTAACTACAAAAATACCTCAAAAAATTTGGTGACCTGAGGTCAGGCTCAGGTCACCAAGAAAGTTCAAGGTCACAAACTCAGGTACTAGCACTAACTGCACTGTAGATCCCATCTAAAAACCGGGGTAAATTTGAAAGAGAAGATCATCATCTAACAGACATGAAAGTTTCAGGCCGTGTTGCGTCAGGAGTGGCCAGTGTCGGGAAGATGCACTTATGTGCAAAGCCTAGATGAAGCCCTGACTGCCATGAAGGTATACGTGTATAATCAGTGAAAGAAAATTGAAATGTAAAAAAGTATAAAAAAAGACATGCCATCTTCCCAGTTCGGCACTACAATTAGCTGGCGGGACGCCATCGGAACCCAATTTTCAGGTTTCAGATGAACAGGTAACCTCAGTGGTCAGGTAAAAGACTCAGAACCGGTGTCCTAGTTTTTTTTTCTCGCAAATAACTTTAACCCTCGCCCTGGCAGGGGGAAGGGTCGATGCGACCTCGCCCTAAGGTTTTTCAAAGATAGCGTAAAAACGGCGGCGCGCAGCGCCGCCAAATTTGACACAGCCTATGAGGCAACCGTTTTACATATGACCTGAAAATTTCATGTCCGGGTAACCTTGGGTCAGGTCACCAGGTCAGAAAAATCGGTCCAAGGTCGTGGTCAAATTTCAATTTTCTTTTTACACCTGTCCAACTCACAGTTTTGGACTGATTTCCTTCAAACTTTCAGGATGTGCTAAATTCACCGAGTTGTATAACATATATTTCGTTTTTTTTTATGTCACTGGCCTGAGGTCAGTTAGAGGTCATTACGTCGTAATGTTAAGCCTATGGGAACATAGGGGAGAGTGGGGCAAAGCGGCCACCCGGGGCAAAGCGGCCACCCATCGTTTTAGCTCTTCATAGCTGGCGTCAGTTCCAATTTATGGTTCCCAATTATACTTCTCTTCACGGTCGTTCGAATGAGCCAGACCGGGGTTTCAGGCCCATCACCATTGTTCTGTGAAACACAGAAAAGCATTTCTTGCCAGGTTACCAACTATGTTTATAATTTTTAAATGTTTTGTTATTCCGTAACCGTTTGGAATTTTTATAAGCGCTCTTGTCCAAGAATTGCATGGTTATCGTGCATGCATTCTACCAATTTTAATGTTTTTTACCCCACTAAAAGCTAAGCTGGAATATTTTTGTCTCGGACGGTATGCGCGGGGCAAAGCGGCCGGGGCAAAGTGGCCACCCCCCTATTGGCCATAAGTTGTTTCTATCTGGATAAAAAACATTATTTATATTCAAATGTGTCGTCATGCATTCATCTAAGCCACTTTTCAGTTGCATGAGTTACCAAATAATGCAATTAAATGTTTTTTCATGAAAATCCTTTCTTTGTTTACCTACAGGTGGAAGATGATGAAGTAAACATCCATCCTCGCTTAAACCTTGTCACCATCAAATACCCTAGTCGTACACGAGGCAACTATGTTGTTTCTCATATCGGGACTTAGGAAGACGCCGGTGGCCGCTTTGCCCCAGGGTATGGGGCAAAGTGGCCAATATGCATAGGTTTAAAGTTTTGTCAATATCTTCCATATGTGAACGCCTTTGGAAATAAAACGCAGTTGAAATAAAAGGCAACTTAATAGGGATCACATTGGTATAGAAAGAATCTTTCCAAGTTTAAAAATTAAGCGTTGGCATCGTGAGAAGCGTTAGGGTGGCCGCTTTGCCCCACTCTCCCCTACTTAATTCGGAAAATACTGGAGATATCTTCGCTTCGTTCGTTCTTCGTATTAGCCGTTTTCACGACGGGCTATCCGGCGAGTGCACCTAATTTGACCAAATCTGCACCGAATCTCTTTTACAGCAGATATCTTTATGTTTTTGAATTTATTTCAGTGTTTTAATCGATAATGCTCTCTGATAATACCAGTAAAACGCCTTTTGGGCGAAGAACGAGCGAGCGAGATAGTGAGCCCTGAAGGCTGCACGTGCGGAAGGGCGAGAGGGTACTTCCAACGGGATTGCGCAAAGCACCCTTCTAACCGGTCGCTAGCGGTGTACCAAATTTGAACGCAATCGGCCCAGCCGTTCCTGAGATCTGGAAGCGGCATTCTCCACGTGCGCACGTGCAAACGGGGTCCAAACTGACTTTTGCACGGCACCCTACTAACTGGTCCCCAACCGTGTACCAAATTTGAGCGCAATCGGCCCAGCCGTTCTCGAGATCTGGAAGCGCCTCCTGCACGTGCGCACGTGCAGTAGCACCTTAACCGCAACACATGGGAATGCATTGCCTGGTGAGTGCCTACCTGTATGCCAAGTTTCAGCGAAATCGCCCCAGTAATTACCGAGTTATTAAAATGGGAACAAATTTGACACCTCTAATTGTTGTATTTTGCACGTGCACTGGGGGTGACCCACATGCATCGAGAGTATCCTATTTTTGGTAGAAGGGATGTTGCTACCCTACAAAAATTACCGCAATTCAATCGCCCAAGCGGCTGCTGAGATATGAGCCTCTCAAAATCACTACTTTTGCAAAACAGCTTGAACACCCTTGACTTTTCACGTAGCACGTGCCACGACGGTCACTGAGGTGTATCAAAAGTAGTCAATTACGGGGTAGAAGGGATGGGGCTACCCAGCAAAAAAGACCGCAGGCCAATCGGTCCGGCGGTTGCTGAGATATAAGCCTCTCAAAAGCGTTACAGGCCGGGCCGGGCCGGGCCGGGCCTGGCCGCTTATACTGAGATTTTTCCGTTATATTGAAAAGACTCACTTCGCTCGCTGCGCTCGCTCGCTCGTAATGACAAAGCAGGCATATAACCAATTAGTGCAACCCTAGCTGATAGCTACTAAGAGAAACACTGAACCTAATTTGACCAAATCTGCGCCTAATCTGCACCAGATGTGCACCAAATGTGTACCAGATGGCCGTCGTGAAAACGGCTGCAGATTAGGTGCAGGTTTAGTCAAATTAGGTTCAGTGTATCTCTTAGAAGCTATCAGCTAAGGTTGCACTAATTGCTTGTATGCCTCCTTTGTCATAGTATCAGAGAGTACCATCGATTAAAACACTGAAATAAATTCATAAAATGAAGATATTTGCTGTAAAAGAGATTAGGTGCAGATTTGGTCAAATTAGGTGCATTCGCCGGATAGCCCGTCGTAAAAACGGCTAATACTACTACATACCTAGTACCTACCCAACGACGTACCATGCTTGAAAGAATTGGACCAAGCTGTTTTTTAACCCGCGCACCGACGGGGGGGGGGCGGATATCCGCCCCCCCTGAGGTTTTTCGCAAATAGCGGAAAAACCGCGGCGCGTAGCGCCGCGAAATTTAGTATGACTATAACCTCATCAATTTTACACATGGTGTGCAAGTTTGAACCTCCTACCTTTCAAGGTCAGGTCACCAGGTCACTTTGAATGACCCAACCTCAAGTCACTTTTTTGCAACTTTGTCACCGTGCCAGAGCTACAGTAGATGTCGGAGGCCTTTGAAAGTCGCAGGATATTATTAGGTCATTAGTAGCTACAATTTGTATATCTCGGAATTTTGATATCGGTGACCTAAGGTCAGGTCAATTTCGCGACCTGCCCATTATACCTAAGTCAATGGGGGAAAAATCAACTCCCTGTTTTTACCACTAAAACGGGTCGGAATGGCCCCATATACCATACATGACTTCATATACGATCAACCTTCACTACCTTGAGGTCTGTTTTGCTGTTGGGCAGCTGTGAGGTCATGTGACGTCATCAAAGGTCACCAAAGGTTTTTGGCCAATAACTCCGTACAGGAACAAGATACAGGCGCGTGGGTGGTCTCATTGTGTTCAGCTCGTCAAGACGCATCGAATGATATACATGATGACCTCAAGGTCACGTGACCTGAGGTCAACCTTCGACCTTGACCTTTCGAGGTCAACATATATATCATTCGATGCGGATTGACGAGAGGATCATGATGATGCCCTTAGTTTGTTCCTATCTTGACTAATTCGAAAGTTATTCGAGAAAAACTCTCTCCATATCTAGCGCCGCCATTTTGACTTTTTCGACCCCTGTGACGTCATCTTTGACCTGACCTGAAAATGACCTTAGTAAAAATTGTAGATCTTGGCCGTGCGTATCCGATGCCGTTTACCGCTTGTCGCTATCTTGCTTCGTTCTTGAGATCTCAGGGGGGGGGGCGGTCATCCGCCCCCCCCCGTCGGTGCGAAGTTGGCGCAGACCCCCGTCGGTGCGCGGGTTAATGTAGAGGCAACCGTTTACGGTTTACAGCCTAGACGTTTGATGGCCAGATCCTCGGCTCATTGTAACGTTTCGGAAGAGTCTCGTAGAAAGCACTGGATGCTTCTCAATTAAAAATAAGCTTCCATTTCATAATTTTCTGTTCCTTTTTTTCCGTTCAAAAATGCGGCAGCCACATATGCAACAGACCGGTAGCTCACGTTCGAAAACACAGCTAACATTCTCAGTTACACAGCCCTCTCGGAGAAGAAACCAATCCTCTTTGTGCATGAATGAATATGAAAAATAGCAAAGGGTACTGGATGTTGATATTTATTAGGGACACAGACAAAAGATACACGTTGCTACATGCATATAAATACGAACACACTGTACATATAATCCTGCAGCCCATGTATCCCACTAATACATTAAATGCATTTGTACCTCATGGCGTGGCTCATTACAGACAAGGCTAGAAGGAAAACTCGCCACATATCTTTACTCATTTCCTGGATTTTAGAATCCGTAACCGGTAGAGGGAGTGCGGCGGGAGCCACTCAAGAGAGCGCCGTAGCCGTTGTTGGGGGCGGCGGCGCCGTACTGGCCGTTCTGGCTGTCCTCGGGGAACTGCGCCTCGCCCTCGTACTGGACGTCAGCCACGAAACCAGAGTCGCCCTCCACGTAGTAGGTGACGGTCTGGACGCGGGTGTCGGGCAGCAGCACGCGGTACTCGCCCTCGACGCGGGTGCCGTCCGACTCCTCCTTGTGGCCGTAGTCGTTGCCCTGGTCGTCCTTGACCTCGTACTCGAACGAGTATGGCTGCGGCGGGAATTCCTCCTGGCCGGCGCCGTAGCTGGTCTGAGGAGCCCCGTAGCTCTGGGACGCGCTGCCCTGAGGAGCTCCGTAGCTCTGGGAGGCGCTGCCCTGGGGAGCTCCGTAGCTCTGGGAGGCGCTACCCTGGGGAGCTCCGTAGCTCTGGGAGGCGCTACCCTGGGGAGCTCCGTAGCTCTGTGAGGCTCCTCCGTTCCTCTGGGGAGCTCCGTAGCTCTGGGAGGCTCCTCCGTTCCTCTGGGGAGCTCCGTAGCTCTGAGAGGCGCTGCTCTGGGGAGTTCCGTAGCTCTGCGAAGCTCCTCCGTCCCTCTGGGGAGCTCCGTAACTCTGAGAGGCGCTGCCCTGGGGAGTTCCGTAGTTCTGGGAGGCTCCTCCGTTCCTCTGGGGAGCTCCGTAGCTCTGGGAGGCGCTGCCCTGAGGAGCTCCGTAGCTCTGGGAGGCGCTGCCCTGGGGAGCTCCGTAGCTCTGGGAAATGCTGGCCTGGGGAGCTCCGTAGCTCTGGGAGGCTCCTTCGTTCCGCTGAGGAGCCCCGTAGCTCTGGGAGGCGCTGCCCTGGGGTGCTCCGTAGCTCTGGGAAGCGCTAGCTAGGCGAGCTCCGTAGCTCTGGGAAGCGCTATCCTGGGGAGCTCCGTAGCTCTGGGAGAGGCTAGTCTGAGCAGCCCCGTAGCTCTGGGAGGCGCTACCCTGGGGAGCTCCGTAGCTCTGGGAGATGCTAGCTTGGGGAGCTCCGTAGTTTTGAGAGGGGCTGCTGCCCTGGGGAGCTCCGTAGCTCTGGGAGGCTCCTCCGTTCCTCTGAGGAGCTCCGTAGCTCTGGGAGGCGGCTCCTCCGTTCCTCTGGGGAGCTCCGTAGCTTTGGCTGAGACCAGATCTTCCCCCAGGGCGGTCTGCAGAGACTGCCGCCGCCGCCAACAGAGTAATCACCAGCACCTGGGAAGAGAGACATAGTTTTCGTTAACGACGTGCTTTGCATTGTCTAAAAATGCTTTTTTTTGTTACATTGTATTATCTGAAGGGACGTTTAAAGTAAAATTATATATTGAGATGAAGAACACCAATCTCAGTATAGAGCTGAATTTCTTCAACATTAGCCACTTCTTTCATTTTCTAGGTCTATGAATAAATGATTTATTTCAATGTTTAGGTACAGTTTCGCAGTTCCTCCAGTTTGTGAAGGCTTACCTTCATGTTTTTCTGGCGTTGGTCGTGCAGGGTGAGCTGCGTCGATCCACAGCAGGCTGTGTGTGGACTGGTGCTGTGCGGAGCGGCCGCCGCCGTTATATAGGTCGACCCATACCTGACCAGTCACGATGCGGAGTCGGACAGTTGCAACACGCTGACGGCACCGGCACCCCATTGGCGCTGAGGACACCACGCCTCCCTCTTGTCCTAATGCTAATCCTGTTCACCACACTACTCGCATGACCCTGTGCCGTGCGGAGTCTCCAACAGTTGTCTTCTGCTTTAGTTTTTTTGTGTGCTGACTTTGTGTTGACTGTGTTTGAAATGTAGCTATGTACGGATAGGCGTCGCCAGTTATTTTTGGTTGGGGGGGGGGGGGGGGGTGGAAAATCAACATTTGTGTTAAATCTTGCCTTATGTTACTCACTCGTTATCCGTATGACGCGCAATGGGGCGAGGACTCCGATGGTGACAAAGTTTTCCCTCTCATATGACATGCATTTTTTACAGGAAAATTTGAAATTTGGAAATTTCTGGACAAAAACGACCGGTAGAATTACATTGGCTGCGATAGCCGACGCACTGCAGAGGGCCCCTGTGCAGACAGACTTTCGTCGTTCATGATCATTACCAGAAAAAAGGTGAAAAGCGCTCAATTTAATCGGATCACCCTGCTAAAACCTCCATTCACGCATGCATGCAGAGGTTTTACGTGAAATGCATAGGGCCCAGCCGCCGATTGTAGCTAAGTTGGGCATTCGGCGGAGACTGAGAGTGAATGTTGGAAGTGTGAATCGGAAGTAATTCATCTTTGCTTCAGTGAGAGGAAGTGTTGTGTTCACTCGAGTGTGAACACAAAGTTTCTCGTTTTTCATGTGAAGGGAAGCGCTGCAAACGCGAGGAAAAAATGTTTAACGGAACCAAAAGTTACGCATGGCATAGCGGCAAAGAATCCGTTAGAGATAGGCTTGGGGCTTCCAGGCCATTTCAGGCCACTCAGGGTCAGTGTGGACTCTCAGAAGCCTGCTTAGGGTCCCGGAGATCGGCGTGGGTCACCCCAAATATTTACGTGTATGTGGTGCTTTAGGGCTTTCCGAGCCCAAGGTGGGGCCCTCAGAAGCCAATGTGGGCGGCGGGCGCTAAGAGACCAGGCCCAGGGTGAGCATGTAGCCCTCGGATAACAGTGTGGACCCTCGGGGTCTGTGTCGAATCCCTAAGGACCCTACGTAGGCCAGGGACACAAGAAACATGTGTTGCTGCCCTCAGAGAGACACGTGAGCTGTGACCCCTCAGATGCCGGCTTGGGGTTAGCAAAGTCTGTCGCCTCAAAAGTTCGTCTGAACTATCAGAGGCCAGTTAAGGTTCTCAGAAATTTTCGAAGGCATCCTCAAAGATTCGTGTGGCCCTTCAGAGGTCTATGTACGTATATAAGGTCCTCAAACAAAGATCCCTGTATGGGCCCTCAGAGAACATGGACACCAGTGGGACTCACAGAGGCCGGTTATGACCCTCTAAAAGCTTCTTAGAGCTCAGTGGAGCTCCTTAGGAGCCTGTGTGAAAAGCAAGCTCATGAGCCCTGCGGCACTTGAACGGTACTTGAGCCTGTCGCAGACATTTGACGAGAGTTGAGAAAGGCCCTGAAGATTTCGTGTCACGCCTGCTTTGAACGAAAATTGTGTGTCAGCCATTAGCGTCGCCACGGGGGGGGGGGGCAAGCGGGGCAGCTTGCCCCCCAACCTCGGACCGGGCACCCCCTGAGATCGATACAGATCCGATGAGATTTTGGAGTCGGGAAAAATGGGGATACCTTTCTGAAAATGCCTGTGAGGTCAGACTCGGTTGGAGCGTGCAGTTCAAACCAGAGTCTGACTCTGACTCGCAGTCGCCAAAATCTTCAAGACTCCGAGTCCAGACTCGGAAATGTCGATGCTGTGATTCATTCATTGTTATTAGTTCGTTCTTTATTAGGTACATTTTATAGCTGATTTTCATAAGTTTTGGAGTGCTGACACAAATTTCGTTCAAAGCGTGAAACGAAATCTTCGGGATTTCTCAACTCTCGTCAAATGTCTGCGACAGGGTCAAGTACCGTACAGGTGTCGCAAGGCTCATGAGCTTGTTTTAAATAAAGGCTCCTAAGGAGCTGCACTGAGCCCTAAAGAAGCTTTCAGATGGCCCAAACCGGCCTCTGAAAGTCCCACTGGTGTCCATGTTCTCTGAGGGCCCATACAGGGATCTTTGAGCCTTCGAACATTTCTGAGAACCTTATCTGGCCTCTGATAGTTCAGCCAAACTTTTGAGGCGACAGACTTTGCTTACCCCAAGCCGGCATCTGAGAGGTCACAGCTCACGTGTCCCTCTGAGGGCCGCAACACATGTTTATTATGTCCCTACGTAGGGTCGTTAGGGATTCGACACAGACCCCGAGGGTTCTTCACACTGTTATCCGAGGGCTCCAGAGTCCAGGCTCACTCTGGGCCTAGTCTCTTAGCGCCCGCCGCCCACACTGGCTTCTGAGGGCCCCAATTTGGGCTCGGAAAGCCCTGAAGCACCACGTACACGTAAATATTTCAGGTGACCCATGCGCCGATCTCCGGGATCCTAAGCAGGCTTCTGAGAGTCCACACTGACCCTGGGTGGCCTGAAATGGCCTGGAAGTCCCAATCCTATCGCTAAGGGATCCCTTGCCGCTATGCTGTGCGTAACTTCCGTTTAACAGTTTTTGTTCGCGTTTGCAGCGCTTCCCTTCACACGAAAAACGAGAAACTTTTGTTCACACTCGAGTGAACAAAACAATTCCTCTCACTGGAGCGAACATGAATTACTTCCGATTCACACTTCCGACGTTCACTCTCCGCCGAATGCCCAACTTAGCTACGATCGGCGGCTGGGATAAGTCCTATGCATTTCACGTAAAACCTCGGCATGCATGCGTGAATGGAGGTTTTAGCAGGGTGCTCCGATTAAATGGAGCGTTTTTCACCTTTTTCTGGGTAATGATCATGAGCATCGAGCGTCTGCACAGGGCAGGGGCCCTCTGCAGTGCGTCGGCAATCGCAGCCACTGTAATTCTACCAGTCATTTTTGTCATGAAATATCAAAATTTCGAATTTTTCTGTAAAAAATTAATGTCATATCTAGAAGGAAATCTTTGTCACCATCGGATTCCTCGCATCATTGTGCGTCGAATGATATGTAAAACGAGTGAGTAAATACTGGGAAAAGGCAAGTTTTAACACAAAAGTTGATTTTGCCCCCCCCCCCCAACCGAAAATCTCTGGCGACGCCTATGGTGTCATCTGTCAGCACTTCAAAACTTATGAAAATCAGCTATAAAATGTAATAAAGAACCAGCTAGGAACATGGAATGAAACACAGTATTGACATTTCCGGGTCTGGAGTCGGAGTCTTTGATAAGATTTTGGCGACTGCGACTCTGACTCTGGTTTGAACTGCACGCTCCAACCGAGTCTGATCTCACAGGCATTCTCAGAAAGGTACACCCATTTTTCCCCGACTCCAAAATCTCATCAGATCTGTATCGATCTCAGGGAAAGCCCGGTCCGAGTTTGGGGGGTAAGCTGACCCGCTTGCCCCCCCCCCGTGGCGATGTTAATGGGGGGGGGGGGGGCATTACACGAAAGATCGTACCACTGTTTTCTAATTTGACGCCCTTGTCTCTCGGATTTTGACGAGAATTGGTCTCAGGAATAATCAGGGGCTCTGAATCCGCCTGTAACAATTTCAGGCCGATCAGATGAGTATTTTTTTTTTAGTTATAGTGTATAACATTCTTTGGATATTGCGTTGCAGCGCTAAGTTTGGCGCACTGTAACTCTAAGACGGATTATTCAAGTGTCAAATGCTATACGGCATTGAACTTGCAATGAAACAAGATTAATACGCACTTTTGAAATTTTGAAAAATAAACTATTTTTATATGACGTCTCCACTTTACTTTCATTTGCATTTTTTTACCTTAGTGACCAATTTTTTTTTTGAATTTTTATTTCCTAACCCGCGCATGACTGGGGTATTTTCCATAACGCGAGTGACTGGGGGGGGGGGGCTCTCCAGAGCCCCCCCCCCCTCCTAGCTCCGAAACTACTGGGCCGATCGTGAAAATTCAAACGGCGTCTGATAGCCCTGGAAAAATTGTCGAGCGAAACCTATTTTCATTGACCTCGAGGTCACCGATGACGTCACAGGTCAGGTCAAATTAAAAATTATCGGCATTTTTGCTAGTTCACAATTTAGGCTCTGACCGCCGGACCGCCGGTCCGATCAGGCTCATTTTTGGTTTACGCACTCCTTGACGGATGCCTTAGATACCCTGAGGGTACCGAACTTTTACTTCAAATTTTTAAGGTCAAGGCCAGGTCATCCTAGGTCACAAAAATTGTATATCATGTATCGGTCACGTGACGCATGTTTTATGGTCCATTTTACTCGTATATTTCGAAAATAGTGTCGTCTGTGTCATTTGAGGTCATTGTCAGCTGAATTTACCGGAGGTCAGGTCACTTTCAGGTCAGAAAAGGTCAAATTTTGAAAATGAAGTTTTTCAACAAATAGGTGCCTATCAGATGCAGTTTGAGCTCAGGAACACGATGGTGCCATTTATATTGCTGTACAACGTCAAAAACGTACTGAAAAATGGATTTGAAAAAAACATAAAATTGTAAAATTTTGACAATAATACAAATAACTTGGCTATTTTTGAAGACATTGGGAAAAAACTTGCAAAGGTAGTTTATCAGTGTGTGTTCTATCATATACATTCCGGTTTTTACGAAAAGTCAAAAACTTTTTGAAAAAATAAAAATAAAATATTTATTTTTGTAATTGTAAATACATATTTTCAAAATTTTCATAATATCGAAAATTCGAGATGGCAGTTTGATAGCTAAGTGTATTTGTAGTCCACTCATGCAAAGAAAATGGATCTAGCTTTAAAACTGAGCTCTAGAGAGCGTTTGCCGTAATTCAGTATTTTGCATAAAAATCGGCCGACATGACGTCACTCTGACGTCATTTACGGCCAAACTATGGTAGCTAGAAAGTTGAAATTTTAACACAAGGTGTCAAATCGATGCCTCTGAAGGTATCGCAAGTTTCGTGTTGATCGGTCAAACGGTTTAGAAAACATTGCTGAAAAACGGGAGGGGGGCTCTGTAGAGCCCCCCCCCCCCAGTCATGCGCGGGTTAAAAGAAAACATTTGGTCTGTGTCAAGTAGTATGCAAAAGATTACGAAGCTATTTTTCTATAGATGTACTTATTTTGCGTCACGATACCGGTCTCGAATAGTTCGGGAGGGGAGCATACACATGGCGTGCGTGGTAAAGCTGTCTAGTGGCATCACTGGTTACTAAAATTCCAATGAAGTCTGAGTCATCTGTAAGAAGGAAAAGAAATTAAGAGGGTTAATCTGGCCCTCTCTCCTACAAGCGCGAGAGTGGAAAAGGCTGGCTGGTTCCGACATTGTTTTGGACGCCAATGACTGTAGCTCTCCAAGATGAAACTTACAGGACGTATATGTAGTAACCCAAGAAAAATACAACAGACGAACATTCAGCAACACTGCCGAAAAGAATAGGGGAGAGTGGGGCACATTCTGTCACTTTTTACAAAATTGGCTCTGGCGTGCACGCTTACAACAGGCCAGCCATGGTGTTTGATACTTTCCTGGTATATTCCCTACAGTAAGAGCTTCAAATGCCCCATTGGTATTCCGGTTGCATCTCAAGTGGTTTTGACGCTAGAGTCGGTTATGCCCCATATACGGGGCAGGTTCTGTCACCCGCAGGGGCACATTCTGTCAGCAGTGGGACACATCCTTCTGATCACTGCACGCCATACGGTGTCCCTGAATTTTTTTTTTATATAAATTTAGTTCGAACCTCTTGAATGGAAGGATTCACAAGGACAAAGCCTCCGCTAAGCGATGCTTGTTGCGTTGACCCTGCCCTCTACCCTCCGATCGCGCAATTCCGGTTCTATGGCAGAATTTAGAGTCCAAAGTTTAACATGCGCACATAGCGGCGCATGGCTGGTCCCCTCACTGACTTCGCCTGGCTACGGCCTGCCACCAACCGCAACCATACCTGTCAGGAGGCTCATAAACGTCAAGCGCCCGTCGCGCTTCGAACCCGGACTGTTGTAACCGGGAACGCGTGCTCTCACCACGCGGAGTCGACTGAGACGCTACGAGACCGGCAAATGCTTCATTCAAGTGTTTTCCACTCATCTTCGTATAATATATAGACTATAGAGAATGACAACAAGATTTGGCCCTGGCGACGATTTTTCTCACATCTTCTATCACGCGGTGTGGGGAGACCCCCTCGGCCGACGAGAGTTAACTTGACCTGGTGAGCTGACCTTAGGTGACCTGGGTCAAAAATTAAATGAACGATGCAAACTTGATATAAGATGAGCAATAACAAGTTTCTCAGCGTTGCAGGAGCGGAATATCCACACGCACAAGAAAGAACCATGGAGAGCTCGGCCAAAAACCAGGTCAAAGATTAACCCGGCGGCCGCTGGGCCTCCGCGCCACCCGCCGGCCGCTGGGGAGGGGGGCAACTAGGTGCTCCCCTTTACTTCTCCGGCGATATTGTCATAATGCGAAGAGATAGAGAAACGGAACTTTACACACATATGATATGTCTGAACTCTGAATACCTAGCCAAGATTGGGTCCAAATTTGGCGGCGATCTCTTTTGAAATGACATCACAGTGACGTCAGAACCCTAATTACAGATTTGCGTCTCTTAGTTTCCCCGCGACCTATCCGATATATAGGACCAAATATATAGGGTTGATCAATGGTCACAAACAAAATGAAAGTGTACTTAAATGTGTTAGGGGATGACAGCAAGTGCTGTTGTCGTTGCGTTTCATGCTCAAAGACATGAGAAACACCCCATGTCGGAAAACGACAAAACTTTATGACGTCATTGTGACGTCATCTTAAGAGGTACAACCACCAAACTTTTCTCACATATGGTCTAGGTATTTGCATTTGAAGCTATGCCAAGTTTCAAGCTTATATCTTATCGCGTTTTGGAGATATCACACAAAACGTTAAGGAAGCGACTTTACGCCCCTCCCCCATGAATCGTGGGTTAAGGGTTAAAGTTAAAATTCAGGGGTTAAATTTGCACCCCTGAACTGGGACGCAGAAAGTGCCAGGACAGTCACACAGATGCATCAAGAGATGCATCAATCTTACTATATTCAACAAAAAAGACTGTCAAATGTGCAAAGCCTGTCAAAGGCGTGTCCCCATCTCCGACTGCTCAAACGTACTACTCAATTATACTCATGCAAACCATCAGGTTATTCCGCTCTATTGAAAGGACGCCAATCGCGCTCGTTCGTTATAAAAAGTGGTATGATGCTGATTTGTATTTAACACATGGACAAAACACGTCACTTTCCAAACATATAAATATGAACACACTATTGTACATACGCAAAAAAGACGGGAACATGCTTTTGACACACCAACATATAACCAGATTCATTCATCCTAAAATACACGAAACACATTTGTACATCAGCATTTTTCGACATTCTCAGACACCATTCTGATATCAAACGGACTAGTTGAGCTTTTTAGAATCCGTATCCGGTGGAGGGGGTGCGGGCGCCACCGTTGGGGGCGCCGTAGCCACCGCTGGGGGCGGCCGGCTGGCTGTAGCTCGCAACGGGGGCAGCAGCAGCGGCCGGGGCGCCGTAGCCGTTATTGGGGGCGGCGGCGCCGTACTGGCCGTTCTGGCTGTCCTCGGGGAACTGCGCCTCGCCCTCGTACTGGACGTCAGCCACGAAACCAGAGTCGCCCTCCACGTAGTAGGTGACGGTCTGGACTCGGGAGTCGGGCAGCAGCACGCGGTACTCGCCCTCGACGCGGCTGCCGTCCGACTCCTCCTTGTGGCCGTAGTCGTTACCCTGGTCATCCTGAACCTGGTATTCAAACGAGTACGGCTGCGGCGGGAACTCCTCCTGGCCGGCGCCGTAGCTGTTCTGGGGAGCTCCGTAGCTCTGGGAGGCGCTGCCCTGAGGAGCTCCGTAGCTCTGGGAGGCGCTGCCCTGAGGAGCTCCGTAGCTCTGGGAGGCGCTGCCCTGGGGAGCTCCGTAGCTCTGGGAGGCGCTGCCCTGGGGAGCTCCGTAGCTCTGGGAGGCTCCTCCGTTCCGCTGGGGAGCTCCGTAGCTCTGGGAGGCTCCTCCGTTCCTCTGAGGAGCTCCGTAGCTCTGGGAGGCGGCTCCTCCGTTCCGCCGGGGAGCTCCGTAGCCCTGCGGCGAGCCGCAGACGGCAGCAGCCAAAAGCACGGTCGCCACGAACACCTGATGAGCACCAGAAACAGGAAGAAAAATCACTGTGGTGTTGTCCAATAGCCCAAACTGTAAATATGCTTTATGTATGGCACATTTAGGCCGTATTTATAGCCTAAGAATAAGACAAAATATCTTTAACTCTAAAACTTTTTAACACGAAGTTGCGTCAATGAGTAATAAATGCGGTGAAGTTATCGCAATAGCTATACGAAATCTAACAATATTTTCCTTTCTTAAGTGTTATTTTTGTGATCAGTGCAAAAAACACTAAATTGTATTCAATTTTTATGATAATCACCTATGGTTCATAAAGGGAATAAGAAGTAAAAAAGAGCAACATTCAAGTCACATTTTAGTTACCTTCATGTTTCATGTTCACGATCACTTACCTTCATGTTTCTGTTCTGTAGTGGACCCTGGGGAGGCTGGGGATGAACTGATGCTCGACTGACCGTCCGCTGCCGTTATATAGTCCGAGGCGTCCCTGGCCGGTCACGATCCGGCGGCCATTTTGCAACACGCCACCAATGCGTCGTGCCCTCATCACCCCCACTAATTCCAATTGGAGCTGGGCGTGCGGCTGGCCGGTGACCTTGTCTGCGTCAGCGGCCACTCGGCCAGGTCGGTCAGTTGCCCCCCGCGGCGCCGGCTGCGCCGAGACACGGCTGCTCGGAGGGGGTGGGTGCCGCCGGGAGTCTGTGGGAGCTCCCAGTACCGTAGCTCACCGCCGTGCCGGGATCGATGGAGCGCCGGCCGCCCGCCGCAGGCCGCCCGCTGCTGCCGTGCTGCCCCGCTGACCCCTCACTGACCCCGTGCTCCGATATCAGCTCACTGGCGCCCCCGAGACAGCTTCTGCACGCTGCCAACTGCAGGCAGCCAGTCCCGCGGCCCAGATGGCTTCATTCACGTCCATGAGTTGATCTGGGCGATTAACTACAGGTCAGCTAATTATCATGCCTGCGCAAAAGCGTGCATGGAAACGGTGTCTTCGTTACCTGGGCGCTCGTAGGGGTAACGTAAAATCGCACGCCAATCAGACGAGACAGCCAAAGGTCAGGACGGAGCTGCGATAAGGCTCATTCTCCACATGTAGTCCACATTCCACAACTACGAGGCCATCATATCACGCTTTTTACGAAGACATTCCGAAATGAAGAGCTTATCATCTTCAGGGAGCTGGGCGAAGTAATTGTTTACTAGTGAATTAGTGACCCACCCGCTTTGATGACCTTTCACCTGTGTAACATGAGGTATCAGACCACCATGTGAGAGCGTTTCTGAGAGTGAATAACAGCCCTGTAAGTTGTAACCGAGGTTCGCTTACTGAGAGTAGCTGCATGCAGTGCTCTAATTTGTAGTGGTCACGCCATGGAATGAAGATTCACAAGTGTCTGATCGTCTCTGGTGAGCAGACTGTGCTTCCCTCAGCCATGCTCGGGATGAGAGAGAGAGAGAGAGAGAGAGAGAGAGAGAGAGAGAGAGAGAGAGAGAGAGAGAGAGAGAGAGAGAGAGAGAGAGAGAGAGAGAGAGAGAGAGAGTGAGAGTGAGAGTGAGAGAGAGAGAGAGAGAGAGAGAGAGAGAGAGAGAGAGAGAGAGAGAGAGAGAGAGAGAGAGAGAGAGAGAGAGAGAGAGAGAGAGAGAGAGAGAGAGAGAGAGAGAGAGAGAGAGAGAGAGAGAGAGAGAGAGAGAGAGAGAGAGAGAGAGAGAGAGAGAGAGAGAGAGAGAGAGAGAGAGAGAGAGAGAGAGAGAGAGAGAGAGAGAGAGAGAGAGAGAGAGAGAGAGAGAGAGAGAGAGAGAGAGAGAGAGAGATCAAATGGGAGATTATGTCATGTATAGTCACTTTTCGGATTATTCTCTGAGATAATAATATCTAACTCACAAGTCCACAAGTGGACTTGTGAGTTAGATATTATTATCCCAGAGAATAATCCGAAAAGTGACTATACATAGCTAATTTCCTGGGGAAAAAATGACTTTAACCCGCGCACCGACGGGGGTCTGCGCCAACTTAGTACCGACGGGGGGGGCGGATGACCGCCCCCCCCTGAGATCTCGAGAACGAAGCAAGATAGCGACAAGCGGTAAACGGCATCGGATACGCACGGACAAGGTCTACAATTTTTACTAAGGTCATTTTCAGGTCAGGTCAAAGATGACGTCACAGGGGTCGAAAAAGTCAAAATGGCGGCGCTAGATATGGAGAGGGTTTTTCTCGAATAACTTTCGAAGTAGTCAAGATAGGAACAAACTAAGGGCATCATCGTGATCCTCTCGTCAATCCGCATCGAATGATATATATGTTGACCTCGAAAGGTCAAGGTCAAAGGTTGACCTCAGGTCACGTGACCTCGAGGTCATCATGTATATCATTCGATGCGTCTTGACGAGCTGAACACAATGAGACCATCCGCGCGGCTGTATCTTGTTCCTGTAAGGAGTTATTGGCAAAAAATCTTTGGTGACCTTTGATGACGTCACATGACCTTACAGCTGCCCAACAGCAAAACAGACCTCAAGGTAGTGAAGGTTGATCGTATGTGAAGTCATGTATGGTATATGGGGCCATTCCGACCCGTTTTAGTGGTAAAAAAAGGGAGTTGATTTTTCCCCCATTGACTTATAATGGGGAGGTCGCGAAATTGACCTGACCTTAGGTCACCGACATCAAAATTCCGAGATATACAAATTGTAGCTACTAATGACCTAATAACATCCTGCGACTTTCAAAGGCCTCCGACATCTACTGTAGCTCTGGCACGGTGACAAAGTTGCAAAAAAGTGACTTGAGGTTGGGTCATTCAAAGTGACCTGGTGACCTGACCTTAAAAGTTAGGAGGTTCAAACTTGCACACCATGTGTAAAATTGATGAGGGAATAGTCATACCAAATTTCGCGGCGCGGTTTTCCCGCTATCCGCGAAAAACCTCAGGGGGGGGGGCGGATATCCGCCCCCCCCCCGTCGGTGCGCGGGTTAAAACAACAGATTATGTCAGTTGGGGGATGACTTTATGGAGCGATACCATGCCGCCCCCCCCCAAAAAAAACTTAACCCGCGCCCCACTGGGGTCTGTGTATAACACGCCCTACTGGGGGGGGGGGGGGGGGCTATTCATAGCCCCCCCTCCTAACTCCGAAACTACTGGGCCGATCGTCAAAATTCAAACGGCGTCTGATAGCCCCGGAAAAACTGTCGAACGAAACCTAATTTCATTGACCTCGAGGTCACCGATGACGTCACAGGTCAGGTCAAAGTAAAAATTATTAGCATTTTGGCTTGTTCACATTTTGGGCTCTGGCCGCCGTCTTACAAGTCAGATCAGGCTCATTTTTGGTTTCCACACTCGTGAACAGATGCTCTAGATACCTTGCGGGTACCAAACTTGTACTTTGATTTTCAGGTCAGGGTCAGGTCATCACAGGTCACGAAAATATTATATCATGCGTCGGTCACGTGACACATGTTTTATGGTCCATTTAGGCCACAGATTTCGAATTTGATGTCGTCCGTGTCATTCGAGGTCATTTTGAGTCGAATTTAGCTTAGGTCAGGTCACTTTCAGGTCAAAAAAGGTCAAATTTTGAAGTTAAAATTTTTCAACAAAATAGGTGTCTATTGGATGCAGTTTGAGCTCAGGAACACGATGGTGCCATTTATATTGGTGTACGATGTCAAATACGTACTGAAAAATTGATTTGAAAAATTAATAATTTTGAATTTTTTGCAATAATGCGTATAACTTGGCCATTTTTGAAGATATTAAGCTAAAACTTGCTAGAGTTAGTCATAATCATGCGTTCTGTCACATATATTCCGGTTTTTTCGAAAAATCAAAAACTTTTTGAAAAAATATAAAAATATGAATTTCGAATATTATTATATATAATTTTCGAAATTTTCAAAATTTTGAAAATCTGAGATAGCAGTTAGATAGCGCGGTCAATTCTGAGTCCTTTCATGCAAAGAAATTGGATCTAGCTTAAAAACTGAGCTCTTGGGAGCGATTGCCGTGGTTCAATGTTTTGCGTCGAAATCGGACGAACATGACGTCACTCTGACGTCATTTCCGGCCGACCTATGGTAGCTACGAAGTTCAAATTTTGACACAAGGTGTCAAATTGATGCAGCCGAAGGTACTGAAAGTTTGGCGTCGATCCGTCACACGGTTTGGAAGTTATTGCAGAAAAACGGGAGGGGGGGCTATAAATAGCCCCCCCCCCCCCAGTGGGGCGCGGGTTAACCAAGAGTACCACACATTCACATATTATGTAACCAATTATGTAACCTAAAAGGTTGTTTTTCTATTTCACTTTGAGAGCTATGATTTATCTTTCGCTTATCGCACCATGACACTTCATAGCGTTTTGCTGATTTTGAAGCTGCAATGCCATATTGTATAACAACCATTCCAAGAAGCCCTGTGTAATGTGTGTGTTGTTTGGGTTTCGTAAATCATCTGAATCAACACATAGCGAAGGGAAAGAAATGACAGCCGAGGCGCCCGTATTTCACGGCTTAGCGTCACGATTGCGCGGCCTCTGGTCGGAACGGACAGGGGAGCTGAGAAAACGCCGTACCCACCAACCGCCGAACGGATGCCATAAACCATACGGCCATAAGCCATGCGCTCCGACAGGCCGGTTCGCCTCCTTGCGGTCAGCTGTGACGGGTATAAATCAGACAATCTGCCACAGCAATGTAGAAAGGGCAAGGCAACTTCCATTGTAACTCTAAAGAGATGAGGCAGCGCTGGCAGCTAGCGCCAAAGATAGCCCGGGAACCTTAGAGGAGCTCAAAGAAGCTGTGACCTGTGCATGTCCATTCGAGATATGTCGGGCCGCGCTGGAGTCGGCGCGGAGCCGCGCCGTTCTGTGCCTGCCGAGCGGAAGCGAGAGCACCTGCAGAGCATGTGCTCTGACGCCACCAGTCAGTGGCCAGTGAGACAGTGACCAGACCAACATAAAATAGCATTGAGTGTGCTATACATGGGCGTCGCCACAGGGGGGATGGGGGGGGGACACCGTACCCCCTGGAGTGAGGGTGGGGGGGATTATCCCCTCCTCAAATTGAATGTCAATCGAAGTTTTCGAGCTGCTTTTTCTCAGTTACCTGTCATTCTGCGGAAAAAAAGAAGTAATCCTTTACCGAACAAGTTTTTTTTTACCGGGACAGAAGACCTACTGTGGACGTCAAACCGCGTGGGACGCGACTTTTTCGCAATAACTTTTGAATGCGTTGCCTCTCAAGAACGAAACTTCGGCAATGGACGTTTCAGACCCCGGCCTAATTTTTATTACAAAGGTTTTTCAATGTCCGATCAATATTTAGGGCACTTCCCGTTCACTCGTAATGTTAAATTTTGTTCCTGAAACTCTCTCGGTGAGCAGAGGCTACTCCACAAGGGGCGGAGCCATAGTGTGACGTTGGAGCTAAGCTCCGCCTCGGCTGGCCGTTGCCTGAGGCGCTACCTGACCCGAGACCGGTCAGTGGCGCGGTCCGTAGGGGTTGGTACGCGGTGCTTCCTGCCAACACACCCAGCCGCATGGCGTACGTTATTCATGCTTGCCCTAAGGGCTGCAAGAATGTATTTGCAATGCGCCTCTTGTCGGTATTTAACCGTGAAGGAAGCCAATGATATATTTTCTTCGGCTCGCTAAGAATGTCACCCAGATAGGAAGACTATACACGTACGCCAAATATTACGATGATTTAAGAATAACAGAAAATAATTAAATGATTATTTAATTAGTTTGTCAACGTAATTACGTAAATGAGATACATAATAATATAATATATTTACACAGTCAAGTTATTTTTTTTAATTAACATTTTAATTTTAGGTTCTTGTAGATATCAAACCGCCATGGCGGTTTTACTAACGTTCCTGCAGGAACGTTAGTACACTTCGTGTTATCCTGCCAAG